TGCAGCGAATTCGGTGTGCATTTTGTAGCCGAAATGCCAACCAAAGTGGACACCCTCCGAGCAGGCTGCTCTATATAAATTGTAGGACCACGTCGAATTTGCATGGCAACAAAATATAGAGTACAATAAATATTTAAATTTTATTGGGCTCCTCGCCCAACATCCATCAACGAAATGGAGAGCGAGTCGTACCAAAAAAAAAAAAAAAAAGCGAGAGAAATAAAAGTTGAAAGCGTTAAATTTACGAGGTCTGGGCAAAGTGCTCGACACATTAATGGCCAAACATGGCCGGACCAACTACGATTGGTCTTCTCTTTGAAAACTCTGGTGGGTTTTTTTTCACAGCGGATAGGTTGACGGGGGGAACTACTTCCATTTCGCATGCGCGCGCATTTAAATTCACTTCCGTTTTTGCCGCAAATTGTTGTGTGTGTGTGTCTGCCTTTGAGTGCTTTGTGGGCTGCCATAAATTCATAACTTTGTGGAAAATCATAAAAACAGAATTTATGGCTTAATTATATATGTACACTTTCAGGAGCGCGGAGAGCAGTACACAGAGCAAGTACACAGTTGGCCTCGACTTAGGCATTTCTTTTTCTTCATTTCACGCTGATGATTAAGTGTCGCACACACTCTCACAGTCGCTAACACCGATACGTATCCACACAGTCGAAAAATACACTAAAATATTTTAAATAAATTTCATTAAAAAATAAAGAATTTTATGATTGTCTATATCAAGCTAACTAACAAAACAATGCAATTTAGGATCTCATAAAAAACGACAACGGTACACAGAAAAAATTTTTTTCTTTTAGTACATTTAAAAAGAATTTTTAAAATAATATAAAAAATTTATAAATTAATAATTTCTTAAAATTCTTTTGTAGAAATTGTTTTTTTTAAGCCTTAATCCCTTAATCTTTTCTTAACAAGAGTCAGATTCTATTCTGCCAACAGCATTTGTCACACCACCATTACGTCATCACCTAATCATCACCAAATCATCACCAAATGATTAGTAACAAGAAAGAAAGCAAACTTCGGCAAGCCGAAGTTCATATACCCTTGCAGCTATCGCAAGAATTAAATATTTTTGAAAACATTAAAATTATGATTTACTTGCGTATATGTTTAAAAACATTGAAGCTATGACGATTTGCAGCTTAATTATTTGATTGTTCTTTTATATATTTTTATTATTTGTATGGGAGCTATATGATATAGTCGTCCGATTTTGATGAAATTTAAACCATAATTCTGAAATATTTAACCATTGCTATATGTCGAAGAACTAAACAAAAAATTAAAAAACAGCAAAGCTATAATTTTTTTTCAATTATTTTTCCGATTGTTCCTATGGGAGCTATATGCTATAGTCGTCCGATTTTGATGAAATTTTAACTATAATTCTGAAATATTTAACCATTGCTTTATATCGAAGAACTAAACAAAAAATTAAAAAACAGCAAAGTTATAATTTTTTTTCAATTATTTTTCCGATTGTTCCTATGGGAGCTATATGCTATAGTCGTCCGATCCGGCTCGTTCCGACTTATATACTACCTGCAATAGGAAGACAACTTTTGGGAAAGTTTCATGCAGATAGCTTTAAAACTGAGAGACTAGTTTGCATATAAACGGACGGACAGACGGACAGACGGACAGACGGACGGACAGACGGACGGACAGACGGACATGGCTAGATCGACTCTACTAGTGATGCTGATCAAGAATATATATACTTTATAGGGTCGGAAACGTCTCCTTCGCTGCGTTGCAAACTTCTGACTGAAATTATAATACCCTCTGCAAGGGTATAAAAAGGACATAATATCATCACCAAATCACTCCTCCCTTTTGAAACTCCAAAATCGTATAGAAAAGTTTTAATTCTCAAAAAAAAAAATAATTCTCTCTGAGCTCAAATGCAGGGTTACCAATACTTTTTTCTCTGAGTGCGGAAACGCGGATTTTTAGCTCGTATTTATGCTTAAATGCGCTGCAATTGTTCTTAAAACGCTGCCAACCTGCACGCGATGATGGAAAACCTCAACGATTTTCATTTTATTCTGGCCAGTAGTGACTGTTGTTGCTGCGGCGGCTGCTGCTCATAACTTGCAATTACGTGCAGCGTTTTCTTTTGTTTCTTATTGATTTTTTTGTTTGTTGAAGCGAAGAAACAAAAAAATTGGGTTAAGCTGTTTTGCATTTGCAGCGGGTCCACACGCGCCCAGATAGACGATTCCCACGATTCTTCGGGCTTGGAGATTGGAGATGGCTTGGGGCAGAAGGAACAGGAGGAACAGGACCTGCAGACAGTTTGTCTATAAAGTTCGCCCGACCCGGGGGAAGAGCTTCTTCGAGAACTTCTTGCATAAAGCCAATTAAATTAAGAAATCTGATGCAGGCCAACGACAACAACACAAACACCAGCAGCAGCGACAACGACAACGACACTTGGAATAAGAAAACAAAAATAAATGGAATGATGCAGAAACGTGAATCACAGTGGAATCTCTCCCTCACTCCCACTCCCACTCTCACTCCATCTGTCTCCGTCTCTGTTCCTCCGCGCAGTCGAGCCTGGCAATTGGTATTTTACAACAAACAGAGCTTGCGTTCTGCTTATTTAACATAAATCGAATGGCTACTGAAATACACCCAGTCAGCCAGTCAGCCAGTCAGTTAGCCAGTCGTCTTATCTCTGACTTTGACTGGAGTTCTCGCTGCTGGGTTGTGTGATGCACCCGGAGAAAAGTTCTTCCAGTAATTATTACCACTTTGAAAAAAAAAACAAGCATACGCCATGTTGGACTCAAAGAAAAATGGATAAATCAGTACTTTGGCTTAAGATAAATATTTATTTCCTTACTATTCCATTTTGTTTTATCTTCAGTAAAAACATTACATACGTTTTCCAATCTTGTTTTACAATAACAAGCAAACAAAAAAGGTAAACTCTTAAATTAAGATTATATATAATTACACTGGAAACATACATTTGTATAGATAAGTTTTTGAAATAATACTACATTTAAAAAACAACAATATCTTGGATGTAAATATATAACCACTGAATAAATATTTAAAGGCAGCCGGCTTAAACAACAAAGTTATAAATTCATTATTTAAAACTTTTGTACTGCCTTTAAATTATTTTGAACACGAGGTATATTAAATTTAAGAGTTTTAGAATTTCGGTTTTATATTTGGAAACACATCTGATAAATTTTAAAGTAAATAAAGTTTTGAGCTTTTTTGTTGGCCTTTTGAAAACCAGTTTGTATTCGGGCTTATTTTTTTATGTCGCTATTGATTATTTAGCTTTAACTATACTTATTTGATGACCCTTTAATTTTTTCCCTGTGTTTCCTTGGGAGCTGGGCCAATTTCATTGAGTAAAGGCAAATGTAAAGGTAAAGCAAACGACCTTTAGAAAAATTGCAGAGGTCCGAGGAGTTGTTTCTGTCTTTTGCAGACAAATCACGACCCGCAGACGAAACCAGCCGGCCAACGAGGACATTTTGTTGGAGGGGGCGACAGTGTAGCGGGGAGGGCTACAGATTTCACACCTCCTCCACAGCGAAAAGGCTGAAAGAAGTGAGACGGACTGACCCAACTAATAAGAGTCAGCTTCGCAAAAACAGCAACTGCAACACCTCAACAGCGACAACAACAACATGGCATAATAAATAAAAGCCAAGTAGCTGCTGCTGCCTCGGAGTCTGGGTCTGCATTTTGGGCCTGCTCTGGTCTGGTCTGGTCTGGTCGGGGTTGGTCGGGGTTGGTCTGTTTTGGCCCAGCCTGGAGTCCGGACTGCAGCCACAACGGAGTCTGCTGGGCCCTGTGATTTTCACAAGTTGATATCGCAAACACAAAATGTTAATGAGCAATTTCGAGATGGTGCGAAGTGATTTCATTATTTAAACTTTTTTTTTTTTTTTTGCTTAGTTTTGGCCTTTTATTTCGTTGTCTTCGGCTCTGGGATTGGGATTGGATGTGCTGTGAGGTTGAGGTTTCTTTCTGTCTTTTCTTGGGCTTCGGGTAAGACTTTTATTACGGCTGCTCCATTGGGTAATGAAAGCGAAACAATTTTAATTGGCACTGGCTGGCAGCACTTTTATTTTGGCCTCTTTCGATGCCAAATTAATTATTTCCTGTCAAATTAGTTTTGAGTTTCGGCATAAATTACGGCCCAGGCACTATGAATATGCATTGCATTCAGCTCAATCCCCACCCCGCGTCCTTCTGCGCCGCAAAATGTCACCTGTCGTGCGATGTCGCGTCGGGTTACTTCAAAACATTGTTCCGCCGCATAAATTAAGGCCAGCAACGTTGATTAATTGGGTCGCATTTGATGATTAAAACATAAATTGCAATGGATGCAGTAAACGTGGCCATGGATACAGCAACTACGTGGCCAGGACTCGTCTTAGGGGTTGCCAGCCACTAAAATTACACTTAATTAAACAACAACCCATTAGGGATCCTCATCCTGATGAGCCCCCTTCGCAAAGAGAAGTAAGGAAGAGCACTCAAAAGGGTTGTAGTATTCAAAGAATTTTATATGAGGAAAAGAGCTGACCTGGGGAATTATTAACTGATCCTGGCAAATGTAATTTATCGGGCTGTCCAGAAAATTGTGAAAGTTCGTTCATGCTAAGCTTTTTGACAGATGCACCATGGATAGAGTTACACATGTGTGCATGAACAAATAAAAGCACTGTGTACATATCTTTTGTTGGACATCGTAACCAGGTAATCTCTAAGGACGTTAATAATATTAAATATAATGGTTGTCTAAAGATTAACCAACTTTTACAAAACGAACTTTATTAATATGTTTATTTAGAATATTAATTATTAAAATCTATAATATTGTTTCTACTCAACGAAAGAACTATCTTTGGCCTTAGCGGCATTCTAAAATTAAATAAAAAAAGTATGAATAGATTTAATTAAATTGGATAATATAGCCTGGCGAACTCAGTCAGAAAATGTTACAATACCTTTTGGTTTGCATCGTTCTACTCAACAGACGCAGCACCGACGGATGCCTGTGCGCCACAAAGGTTATAGTGCGTGTGCCCCAGGAGAAGGACATTGGTTTGATTTTCGGTGAGGCGGACATTTGATTCCGCTCCATTCCGATCCACATTTTTGACTTACCCCAACAGATCTGACCGTCACCAACCGCATCAGGGGCGGCAAGAGGGAAACACTGGATTTCACAGTCGTCTCCAACGGGGAATGCACTGTGAACACGACCAGCGGTGAGCAGGTGCATTCAATGGGTCGAATCTTTGGCGGCGACTTCGGATCCGTCGAACCTGGGAGGAGTGAAACTGTTTCCCTGGTGTGGCCCACGGTGGTTAGTCCTAAAATTAGATGACAGTTAATTCGCCAGTTTTCGTTACATATTAGTTTTACCTTAAAAGACTATTTAAATAAAAATTAATTTCTTTGCATTTCCACAGTCTCTGTACAACCGGGTGGGCAGTTGCCCCATTCTGATCTCCGCGACGTGTGCCCACGACCAGGATGCGGTGGCAACCGCCAAGCAAGTGCTGCACTTTGACACCCGCTTCGAGACCCTTGATCCGCAGAGCAACAAACTGCGCAGGCGAAAGGGCTTCAAGGACTGTCACAACTGGGACAAGGATTACCTCCGCAACTGCACACCGCTGAACTGCGAGGAGCGATACTTCGGCCAGCGCAGCTTCTTCAACGTCGAAACGGAACAGTGCGAACGGGCATCGGATTGCTCGCGACCTGGGGAATATTACGACATATTCAGCAACGAGGCCATTGAGACCGGAAATTTTGTGTCGGAGGATGAACTCGAACTGATCAAACAAGGCAAGTTCGATTCAAACTATTTGGAGCTTCGAGGACCTTCACCGGTGAGTTGCACTTCGACATTTTGATTTTAATTCTGGGCATTACTTCTTAATACACTGAACAAATAAATACAATGCATATTTATTTCCATGATTTAATATTCAAAAACATTAAATGTTTGTGAAAAATATTAAGCCGAAATAAGTTCCTATTTGATTTTAATGCATTTTATTTAAGTTAAATATAAATAAATTCGGAAAATAGTAACATAAAAGTTTTCTTATAATTTCATAATTTTGTATTTAAAAAATTTAAAAACCGCAATAGATTTTAATGTCAGTTATCAGCTTTTACCACAAATATAAAGCTATTTTGGCTCTTGACTATAGCATCACTTTTTTTTTGTTTAATTTGCCTATTTTAACCTTACCTATGTATATACGAATAGTAGTTACTTGAATTGTCTCGTTTTGCCTTACAAAAATGAGCAGAAAACGCGTATGTTACCAAACAACTTCAATTTAGTCACATTGAACTAGCGCCATCTACCGTATTTAGCATGAAACTGCCTATACAACTGCTTGCATTTACGTCGATAAAGCAGGAATTCCAAACAGCAATATCATATATATGTTTTGTTGCTGATGAGGCAAATGGCGCCGTGGCTTAGTTGGTTAAAGCGCCTGTCTAGTAAACAGGAGATCGTGAGTTCGAATCTCGCCGGGGCCTATGGTTGCACGATTGAGTGTGTTCCATTTTTTTGGCACTTGAATAATTAATTCACTTTTAACACTTAAATGTTTGAAAAATTAATCTCTATAAATTATATGGTAAAATATATTTAAGTTTAAAGTTTTGTAAACAAAGTATTTCGGTAACATTAACATTTTACTTATATACACCAAATAATTCTTACACTAATATATTTATACATTAACTGATTATTTATACTTGCGACAGCAGCACGAACCGAGTGAGGATCCCGCGTATCCTCTGAGCAAACAGAGCAGAAAACAGGCTGTAAGACCTCACTTATACAATCCCATAATGTCGCAGGATTGTGATAAGTCCCGCAAACTTACACTGGCTGATTTCAATGATTGCTTTCAGCACTTGAAGGATGTTCAGTCCCTTGAAGACTCTGTAAACGTGAAGAAACTTGTGAAAAAGTCACCTTTCGAGATTCCGCTCCTGACACAGCTCTATTACGACTGGTATCTGCCCATGAGGGCCGACAACTGGGGTGAAGCAAGTGAATTTGGCGCACCAGGTGAACCAAGTCCCCAAACAGCCCCATCAGGATCGCCGCCCCTCATAGACTGGATAAGTAGACTCGACGGCAGCGGTTGGATATTGCTGATCCTTAAAGGCACCGCCATTGTGAGTTTGTAATGTCGGTGCTCGAACAGTGTAAATTTATATTTGGCGATTGTTTCAGATCTTACTGCTCATTATGTTTCAGATTTTTGCCACTCTGATGACCTATTTCTTGGTTTGCCTTGCGGTCTACGGCTTTATGGAAATTTATACTTTTTGGACTTCCGACTCCGAGGCAGCCGACACTTTGATGGGGGACTCCAATTCTCAAACCAGCAACTTTGTTCTTGTCACCTCAGAGAGTCTTATGTCCCAACGTTAACTGAGTTTAATGAGTTTTGAATGTGCATTCAGTCGAAGTTGAAATATAAATCGCTGCTGTCATTACTTTTTTTTGGCCAAAAATGTGTGATGAAATTTGTTTAAATCTCTCAAGTTGTTTTATTGGTTTTTTTTGTGAAGAAACTTTTTTTTTTTTTATCTACCCGGATTTATTGTTCTATAACACTCCTTTGATATTTTAATTTATGTGTGATTGTTATTTTTCAAAACAAAAAAAAATGTTTTATGTGTTACAAAAAACAGAATATATCGGCTTAAATTCAACACAAGTAAATTCTTATTACTTTTGTCATTCAGAATATAAGAATAAAGAATACCCTAACTAAACAAAAGACAGTGTTGTAAAGCGGCTTCCCCAACACTACTCTCGTGAAATTCCTACTCGGCGAATTATTTTTGTTTATTATATTTAATTTAAACCCCCAATTAGCCAGCTCTAAAATGGGACCCGAGGAGGAACTGCTGTTCCGCAACTTCCAGCGCCTGAAGAGTTACATGTTCGACGACGAGAAGGTGTCCACGACGACGTCCCGCGAGCAGGTGAGTAATCCCGGATAAAAGTCGGTCGGCCAGATAAAGATAACCGATGGAGTGTATTGCAGCAAAAGACGGAGGGCTCGGTGGAGAAATGCTTCGATCGCTTCGAGCAGCTGATGTTCACGCACCCGCGCCTCACCCAGATCTTCCGACTGGAGCACCAGTACTATCTGGACGCGATGTTGAGGCGATTGCCCTCCAACTACGAGTGCCTGGACAGCAGTCGTCCGTGGTGCGTGTACTGGATCCTGCAGGCGGCACAGTTGCTCAGCTTCAACTTTGACGACCAGACGCTGGACCACGTGGTGCAGTTCCTTGGCAAGTGGGTCCTTAAAGATATACCAATGCTGGGTGGTTGTAAGCCATTAATAATTCTCTACCAAACAGATGCCGGTCGCCGACGGGTGGCTTCGGAGGAGGACCTGGTCAGTATGCCCACCTGGCGCCCACCTATGCGGCTGTCAACAGCCTGTGCATCATTGGCACTGAGCAGGCTTACCGCGCCATCGACCGCCCGACTCTGGTTCAGTTCCTGTTCAGTGTGCGCGAATCGGACGGATCCTTCCGCCTGCACGTGGACGGGGAGACGGATGTGCGCGGAGCCTACTGCGCCATCTCCTGTGCCAAGCTGCTCAATCTCCCCGAGCCGGTGCTAAAGGAACTGTTCGCCGGCACCGGCGACTGGATAGCCCAGTGTCAGACCTACGAGGGCGGTTTTGGCGGTGCCCCTGATCTGGAGGCCCATGGCGGCTATACCTTTTGCGGCATTGCCGGGCTGGCGCTGCTCAACGAGGCGGACAAGTGCGACCGACAGGCTCTGCTAAAGTGGACGCTTCGCCGGCAGATGACGTACGAGGGCGGCTTCCAGGGGCGAACCAACAAACTCGTTGACGGCTGCTACTCATTCTGGGTGGGCGCCACGATCCCCATCACACAGGCCACTCTATCAGGCGTTGATAAGCAGATGGAGCACACCCTGTTCGATGTGGAGGCCCTGCAGGAGTACATCCTGCTGTGCTGCCAGAAGCAGAACGGTGGGCTCATCGACAAGCCCGGAAAGTATGCCATTCCCACCTATTTGCTGGTTACGCTCATTTAAAAGCACTCTATTTTCAGACCCCAAGATCTCTATCACACGTGCTATACCCTCAGCGGAGTTTCCATTGCCCAGCATTCGGAGTGCGCCAACAGCCCGCAGGTCCTGGGCGACACTATTAATGAGCTGCTGCCCACCCACCCACTCTTTAACGTCCCACCGAAGTCCGTTGCGGCTGCCAGGAGCCACTTCAGCAATTCCAATGACACTGAGTTCTCGGGCAGTGATAGTCCGTGCAAGGATAGTTAAAAGGTCGATGCACTGGAGAGCTTTTTACTGGATGGTGGTTTACCTTTAAAAAACTAAATTTGCTTTAATAAAATAATCTTTGAATTATAGTATGTTTCGCTTCTTAAAAATGTGTGTGAATGGAAAGAGGAATTGATTAAAATATACTTTTTGAAACTATTTTAAGATGAAAATAATTTTACTGCAATAACAATTTGACAAAATATAACATTTATACTAAATAAAATACCAAATATTTATTTATCTTATGTACATTGTATAAAATGAAGTATTCCAGAATATTTTGAAAGGACCAAAAATAAAAGGAAAAATGGTTTAAAATGTGATGTCTTCTACATAAACAATTAATGTTTCAAACCAAAATATGTACCGTTTTTAAATAAATATTTTACATTTTTTAATTTTGTTTTACCGAAAACCTGTAGCTGTTTTTGAGAAATTAGCTATGATATCAGCTATTCAAATATCTATGTTTACGTGTGAACGTTTATTCAGAAATAATTCGTTGTGAATGGCATTTTGGAAGCCATTTGAAATCGCGTCATTGTCCCTAGTTGTTTATGTTCTCCAGCCACAGGACATTGAAGAGGAGGACTCCAGCCGAGGGCATAGATCGCCGGGAGTATATCGGCCACCTGGTCGATGAGTATTACACAACGACAAACGTCGGTGAGTTGGTTATTTGTTATAAATTGCCCTTGAACTCATTTTGGATTTGCGGTTCCAGAGGCCCAGGAGCAGGTGACTGCGAATTTGGCCAACTTTGCCTACGATCCCATCAATTGGCCACATTTGCTGGAGGCAGACGCCCTGGATGTGTTCATAGCATCGCTGGAATCCCAAAATCAGCGTCTAAAACTGCACGGAATTGCGGCATTGTGTAACATATGCTTGGGTATGGAATACAACGATTTTAAGGACTCTTCTCCATGGGTTTTGTTTTGATTGCAGACAGAACTGCAGCCAAATTCATCAGGGAGCAGCTACAGCTTATCACCGGCCTCTTTGTGCGCACAGATCATCCGGAAATAGTGCTCCATAGCCTGGCGCTCTTTTACCAGCTCCTCGAATCCGGTGAGGTTGACAGGGAATTGCTTCTTGGCCCTTCGCTGCTGAGGACTGTGCAGGAGTGGCGGGTGAAGGCTCACGATCAGCGCATCGTTAAACTCTGTCAACTGCTGCTGCAGGATTTCGCCACACGCACCGAGGTTGTCCAGTTGCAGAATGCTCCACCAACTCTGCCGGCAGCTGAGCAGCCGAGCACCTCGGCAGGTTCAAGTGGTTAAGCGCTTCTCGCAAAGCGATTTGGAGCAGTTTGCCCGGTTCACCGGCGACCACAACTACATCCACAGCCTGGACACTCCCGTGGAGGAGCGGCGCGTGCACGGAGCCCTGCTCAACGCGGTGGTGGCGGGCATAATGGGAACTCAGTTGCCAGGACCGGGCACCGTGGTTCTGGAACAGAGCTTTAAGTTCCTGAAACCCTGTCGCATTGAGACGGACACTCTGGTCACTGTGAGCCTGGTGCAGGCGCGTAAAATCTCCACCGTGGAGTACGACATGCGACAGAACGACGAGGTGGTCTTCGCAGGCAGTGCCAAATTGCTGACGCGCAGTGACCAAACAGACTAGTTTTTTCTTTCAATAAAAATGTTATTTTGTATATATTTATGGTACTATTTCTTGGAGGCACGCTTGCCCTCGCCCTTCTTGGGCGCTGCCTTTCCGCGCAGCTTGCGCAGTCGCTTCATCTCCTCCTTGAAGTCCTGGTGCTCGTCGCGGAACAATCCGTAGTCGCGGAGGTTCTTCATCAGCAGGTGCGTCTCCACGTGGCGCGGATACCAGTTGACCACGTAGTCCCGCTTGTGAATCGGCTCCTCGGAGAACATGCGAACTACCTGGTAAAGTAATATACTATTATGTTTAAGATTTACTTAATAAACAGAAGTGAAATCAAACCTTCATGGATTTATCGTTTGTGGTGCGCGCAACTTCGCCGAAAATGCGATTTGAGAGGTAGTTCATGCGTCGCGCATACTGTGTGCCGAGCTTTATCAGCTCCGTGTACTTGTGGGACATTTCTACTTTATATTTATTATTAGTTTACGTTTGTTTTCATTAATTAATTGCTAAGATTTAGCTTTTAGTAAATTGCGGTTATGTCACGAAACAAAAACAAGCGACAGCTGATTGCCAGGTTAAATTGGCATTCACAGTGAACGCAACTATTAGGGGCACCCTTGAAATTTAAAATTGAAGTTATAACCGTTATATGGCCGAAATTATTTTGAAAAGCAATTTAACAATTTTTTTTTAATAATAGTAATTACGCGTGTGATTACTTAAAAGTTTAACTACATAAAATAATTCTATTGGGAAAAAATATGTATTTGTAAGTAAAACAAATTAACAAATCTGTTGTCGCTTTCGGATTGCATGTTATTTATAACATGCCAGTTTAATTGTATTTGCCTTGAGATAGTTTTGGAAAACTTAGTGTAATAACATTTCAGAGGATTAAACTTCCCCAAACTCAAATCGAATTCGAGTGAATCGATCCAAATCTACTATATAACCAGAACGGCCTAATAAGCACCCTCAAATTTAAATTTTTAATGTCTATGTCACTTATTATTTCATTATAGTAAAAAAAATTGATTTTGAAGCTTTATAAACGTCAAAATTATAAACTAATTGGAAAACTTCACCTTAATTACCTTTTTAGTTATTAAAGATACAAATAAAAATATCACATAAACATATCAAATTCGTCAAATTATCTTTTATTTAAAACGAAAAGCCATTAGAGCATGTACCACCGTATTAGTCAATTGGAATAACAAAATGTCAGCAACAATCTAAGCTTAAGGCTCCTCTCGTGTAATACTAGAATTACTTATCTAAATTAGACCGTCTCAATAGCTCCCCGTCGTCTGCCTTCCGTGCCGCCAGTGGAGTCATTTCCGTCGTTCCCGATAAAGGACGTCTCCTCGGAGCTCTGCACTGGGACCACTTCGCGGGCCAGGCCGTTCAGCTGGCTCAGCAGGGCGTTGGTGCCCACCAGGGACGCTTCTCGGGGGGATCCGCTGTGGCCGGATAGCTGATCGTAGTGGAGCACCCGGATAGGCGTGTGCGAGCGGGAGGCGGGCGAGGGGTTGCCCCGCGAATGCGGGCTGTTGTTGCGCGAGTGCTGGAAATCCTCCAGGGGAATCTCCTCCGAGCTAAAATGAAATTACAAAATTATAAATTAACTTTTAGAACGAATGGAAGGAGTTTTTAAGGCTGAACAGTTGCATGCAATTGAAGATGAATTTTTAAAATGACATCGAGAAAAGACAAAAAAATATTAAAAATTTCTGATAATAAACTATTTTAATCACAGTGAAATTAACAAATGTATAGGTACTCTCATGGTTGGTTAAATTGATTCCCACAGAATAAAAACATGCCCGATTGGTTTTTATTTTATAAAAAAGAAGCATACAAGACATAATGCAAAACTATATTTGATTCTTTAAGGATATTTCCATATAATGATGTACAAAAAGTATAATCAATTACATGGTAAATATATTTAAATAAAATAAATTGAGTGAATTATATAATTTGTACAAACATCTAAATTTGGAATATAACATGGAATAAAACCATGAAAATAAACAGCAAAATATATGTACATTTTGCAATTTGCTAATCTAAATAGCCTAATAAAACGTGCACAACTTGAACACTAACTTAAACAGTTCTATAATCCCAATTATAACAACCATTCCATAGAAAATCTGATTCGTTACCGCGGCCTGGGCATCCTTGGACTGCTTTCCCGCGATCGGTTACCGGAGCTTCTGGGCTGGGAGTTCTCCCGCGACTGCGAGGAGCTGATGCTGCCCACACTGACACTGGGCGATCGCTCCCGATCCGAGTGATCTGCCCTCAGATTCGAGCCAGAAGTTGAGCTGGGACTGCGGCGTCGGGAGCGGCCTGCGCTTTCATTCCTAATGCTGCAGGAAGACGCACCAATGAGGATGTGGATGGGAGGCATGAGAAGGAAGGCCTGTTTTGAGCTTACCCCTCGATGGAGCGGTTCTGGGCCATCTGGGTGCGACTGACTCCGGCACTGTTGTTTCCCCGCAGCACGGCCGCAAATCCAGGTACACGATTGGCCGTGAACATGGGACGATGGTGGCTGCTACGCGAGCTGCTGCCGCTGCTGTTGCCGCTGCCTCCGCCACTGGACGTCGCCATGGTGCCGCCCACCGCGAACACGGGCGAGTCCATTTGGCCAGGGATCTCGATGAGCTGCGCTATCTGGTACATCTTCTTCTGGCGCGCCTTGCTGCGTCCCTTGGTTAGTCGCTGCTTGGCCGCCATGCAGCGGATGTGATCGTCGAACAGGAACTTGGCCGAGAGCAACGGGGTGCGGTTGTGCGTGACTCCGCCGCGATGCACAGTGATATGCAGGCAGCGTGAATCGTCCTTGTCCCCCTGCACCTCGACGTCTTGCAAAAAACCCACGAACTTTGCCACGCCCCAGCCGAGCAGTTTGGCATCCGGCTCCACGAGGATCAACTGGAGAGCGTCAATTACCAGAAAACGTCTTTGTTTGCTGCTGTCCTTGGCCACCACGGTGCAGGCAATCAGGTCACTATTGTCTGTCCGGGATCAGTGCCAGTTAGTAGGTTCGTGACCAGTGGCTTGCCAGAAATGGATACTCACTCAGATCTAGCACGTTCTCCACCTGCACCAGATTGACGACATTCGTCAGCGGCAGCAGTGATTCCTTCTCATTCAGAAACTTTTGGCACGTGCGACGCAGCAGGAAATAGACGCGGATGGCGCGTCGGGCCTTTTCCACCTCCCCGCAGGGCAAGCGTCGTGTGAAGTTAATTCCCGTGAGGGGCGTACCCGTGGGAGGCAGTAAGATGGTGGAGTCCATACACAGAAACTCCACGTTCAAATGCGCCTTTCGCATCTCGTTGTACTCGTCTTCGAAGAGGTCAAGGAAGATATCCTCCGACTTGTAAAAGTTGCGCAGTACCGCCATTGATTGGTTGCGGGCGCTAAAGAGTAGATCCTGTTGGGCGGAGGTAATGCAGCGCGTCTCATCCGAACTGGGACGGGTGAAGGTAACCAGCAACTCCAGGGCAATCTCAACGGTTATTAAGCGAATGCGAGATGCTGCAAGCAAAGGGGAATTTATTAAGAACTGGAGTTTAGTGAACACTTCCTATGAAACTTACATGGCTGACTGGACTGTGTGATAATATTCAACAGATGCTCAATTAGGGCCGTCTTGTAGCTGAAGGCGCCGCGCGTTGACTTGGCCAATACCTGTTCGAACCACTCGTTCTTGATGCCTGTATAAGAAGAATTGGCCAGAAATTTAGTTAGCAAACGAAAATGATAGATGATTTCGGATAAGTACGGAAAGTGGAGATGTTACGTACCATCTGGACGGAGTGGGACAGATACCAGAATGTGAAATGTTCATTACACACATAGAAAGCAGTTAAAATGAAGCACAAATGGGGTGATCAGAACAATGGAAAGTTACACAGCATTAGCCCATGAATAGAGCGACAGGTTAAAGAACAAGCGAATCGCAATGGAACCTACCACGATTGTGCGACATGGCATAAATGAGACACAGCGACAACAGGGCCAGGTAATCGTTTTCGGTGCAGTCCAAAGCATGCAGGACAGTGTCCAAAAACGGTTTGGCCATTTCCCCGAAGTCTGACTTCGCCGAGGAAGATGACTTCTGCAGCAGTTGCTTCTCCTCGTCAGTTATGTTACGCAGCTTCGTCTGCTCCGCTTCCACAGCATCTGCCTGAGAGTCCAGTTCAGTGGCGGCAGGAGAAGAAGACTCCACACCGCTGTCCTCGCTGAGGGCATAGCTGGAGGCGCTGGACTGGCCGGTGACCGTGTCGAGGGCCTGTTCGAGACTCTCGTTGGGCTCTCCGAATCCTGGCACAACAACCTCGCGGTGCTCTACGTACGAATTGAGAATCTCGGCCGCGCCCTCCTTGAAGACGCTGTGGTCGCCGTTGAGAATGACCCATGCCAGGGCATGCACCAGAGGGGCATGCGATACCACCAGAAAGACCAATGAGAGCAGGAAAAGGGCCACGATTGAACTCACTCGCGGGTTGTGCATCTCCTGGATGTCGATGTCCACGTTGCGATTGAGCACGGCAGCCAGATTCTGGGTGACCACCGCCAGCGAGGGCGGTGGTGGGGCTGGCGTCAGTGAGAATATATACAGGGGCACAAAGAGCTTATGCAGCAGGTGCTCGGTCAGCACTGCGTTCAGATCCTTGATGTCGAGCAGAAGAATATCGCTTAAATAGTGCAAGTGATCTAGGTGCTCAGCCACTAAATTGGACAGCTTCTGATTTGACTGATGGCTGCAAGCGGAGAAAAGAGTAGTATCCAAATCGAAAGGGCTGATCAAGGGTTTTACTCTTACTCTATATCTGTGCGCACACAAGTATCTAGTTCCAGAATGTGTTTGCCAATGAACCAGACCAGATTACTAAAGTAAGGAGCGGCCGTTCTGGGGGATAAAAAAGGTGGTTTAGAAGAGGCCAAACAGTATTTGAGATAGGCATCATACTTGTCTCGGATAAAACGCAGCATGCTGGAGTTTTGAACCTTGTAGACATTTAAGGAAATGGTGCGCACAGCTATTCTCACCATAGACTCGGGATGATTGAAGAACTTGATGGCCTCCGTGTACAAGGGAAAATCATTTGTGTGCTGAAAAGGCAAAAAAAAAAATACATTAATAATTGGTTGACGGTCCTTTTGAGTAATTCAGACTTCATTGTAGAAAAAGTGGATCGTGTGTGTGTTCAGCTTTAGACTGAGTGTCTTCAGGAAAAGTATGTAATAGCCCATCACATCCTCGTCGGAGAAGTCGAACTTGTGCACCATTATGGAATTAACATGGTTATTGCTCAGAAGATAATCTGGAACAAGGCAAATCAGATTAATATATAGAATACATAGAAGAGCATATGGGACTAACACAGAGACGTCTCATTGCGTATGTTCTCGAACAGAATGTTGAGTGTTTGCAGCAGCTGGACGCACACGAAGCTGGAGCCGCCACTCTTCTGCCGCATGATGTGCAGGAAATAGGAGAGCATGTTCTTCTCCAGAAAGAAGCTGGAAAGATAAATATAAATATGACACTATAAATATGTTTCCGCAACTTACTCAAACACCAGGGAGTCATGCTGGTCACCCCAAATCAGGATCTCTGCGATGCAGCGCAGCGACTCCACCAGCAGACCGCGGTTGCTTTCCGACACGGTGGTGTTCTTCTCCAGAATGCTATACAGGTACTTAAGGTGCTCCAGCGAAAGACGGTTCTTGGGGCGGCCGCCCCAGGGTCCGCCAAACCAACTGCGACTCCGAAACATGCTGGCTACTTGGCTGGAATCAACTGGACGCTCCGCCTGGCTGATCTCATATCAGGTTGCAGTGGATTGCGGGGGCGCTGTTCCCTCGGATCTTCGCATGCACCACTGCTCACGGTCACGCCACTGGGTTGGCCCACAAAACGGGGGCACCAGATGCCTGCGATTGCACGAATCTAATTTTGTAATTGGCGAATTGCGATTTTTTCAACAAATTGCTCTTCTTCTTGGGAACACAAGTGTCACAGTCAGCTGTTGCTTCGACCAAACTTATTGGTTATCGGTATCGGAGTAAAAGATAATAATCGTTGCTTCTACTGTGACAGCATGTGAACTGCGACTTGGTCACGACTTACCAAAAAATGTTTAGATTTGTAATTAAAAAACTAATTTTAATTGCCTATAACATTTAATTAACAAGAAGGGATTCAAACTCGGAAGGAACCTATTACGTTACTGCATATCTCATTATGCATATTATAAAATAATAACAGTAAAAATCTGAGAAAAATTATATATTTTCAGATTATCTTAAGCGCAACTTTTTAGTAACCTGATAGTGATTAAAATGCGTATATTTTCTATTGATGGAGGTGTAAAATGTACGAAAACTGTGACTTGGTCACGTCTTGCTAGGGCTAAACTGTTATTTTTACAATATCCTCGAAAACAGCTTTATTTCTTTTTAGGCAAAACTTTTAACTAGCTGGGTTTTTGGTTAAAGTTTATGGAATACGAGCCCGTGTTGGGATCCTGTTGCATTTGGAAATTCTGTGTGGACAGTCCGAACGGCTTGAGTATCATATTGCCCAGATCCTTCAGGCTTGACATCATCTCGTTCTTGAGCTTCTCATTGCGCTCGTTAATAATGGGCGGCAGGCGAATTTGAGCCTCGCGTGCCTCCTGCTGTCCAGGATCAATCTCAGCCACCTTTTTATAGTCCTCCAAGGCCTCATCGGGTTTGTCGTCCTGCTCGTAGAGTTTGGCCCGCCTGCAAGGAGGAAGTAGAGTTTTAGGAGACAAGGCAGTCTGATGGTTTCATATTTAACCCCACCTCAGGAGCACTCTCACATACTCCGGCCACAGTTCGATGGCCTTTGTGCAGTCGTCGATGGCCGCTTTGTTGGCCTCCAGCTTTATCTTGGCAGCCGCCCTGTTTCCGTAGAGCACCGCTCGTTCCTTTGTGCTGTCGGAGGGGCAGATGCCCAGGGCTTCTGTGTATGTCCTGGCGGCGCCTTCGGGATCGTCGTTCTTAAAAAGCTCGTTACCCTCCAGCTTCAGTTTGTCGGCCTTCTCCTTGTTCGCTGCCAGCTGCTCGGGGCTTAGTTCCTTCTCCCGTTCGCGCAGCTCCTCGATAGATATCTCGGAGTCCACTGTCGGTGGTGTCACTACACAATCTCCGCCCGCCGCTCCCTGTTCCGCTTCGTCATCCAACGCCAGCTGGCTCTGCTTCTCCACGATCTCGTCCACATCCTTCTCGCTCAGCCGCGTGCTGGTGGCCTCCTTCTCTGTGATCTCCTCTCCGATCGCGTCCTGGAACTCGTCGTCACTGTTGGCGTTGTCGGCCATCCTGTTGGATTTTAATCCTGCTCGTTTATGGGAAAATTTAGTTTTTTGTGCAGCAACAAATAAAGCTCCTCATGCTGCCGATAACAGTGCCTATCGATAACAGCCCGCCGTTAGTATGTAATTAGTATATTCTTTGAGATGCAGTGCTGGGAAATCCCAACATAACATGGGTACAATTTTAGAGCAATAATTTAATAAAATTAAAAACTTCAAACAGCCTCAGAATTTATAAATAATACATACTTTTACGTAAATAAAAATACATTTGAAGCCGCAATTTCTTACTAAGCTGTATTCTTTTTTTTTAAACTTTTTGCCTGAACAAAATTAGATCTTTCCCAACACTGCTGTTTTGGCGCTCCTGTCTGCTGCAACCCTCCTTGACATGCGAATCACCAAATCCAGATAAAATGGACATTGGAGCGTATATTCTGAGTGAATATATCCCCGCCAAGCCGCTGGTCGGTAATCTGGAGGTGTGCTTTACTGGGGATGAACAGGTGAGAGCGGCACAAACATGGGAAAAGCTCTTAAACGCCTTACTTGCAGACACAAATTGATACATGTGCCCAACTAAGATGCGGCGAGGTATTAAAGTTCCCATTCGCCCGTCCTGACTTCCAACCGCGGTCAGTGGTAATAAAGGGGAACACATTGCTCGTGGCAGCAGACAAGGCTACGGAGACAAAACGCGTGGTGGAGTTGACCCTGGAGTCGTCGTTTGATTATCAACCCGGTGACACCATTGGCATTATGCCCAGCAACAAACCCGAACTGGTGGAAAAGCTGCTCCAGCGGCTAGAACTGAAGGACCAGGCAGACACTAGCTGCCATTTGAAGCTGGTGCTGCACTGCGCCAATAAGAGCGCCAAGCTACCCGCTCACATTCCGACAGCGACGAGTCCAAGGGAGATCCTCACCCACTGCTTGTCTCTTTGCTTTGTGCCGCAGAAGCAGCTTCTCAGTGCCCTGGCGGGATTTACAAGCAACGAACGGGAGCGCAGCTTCCTGGCCTGTCTGTCCTCCAAACAGGCCACCAAGCACTACAATTCCCTTATCCTGGAGCAGGGGCTACTCTTCATGGATATTCTTGAGCTTTGCGGTGACTGCAGGCCACCGCTTGCCTTCCTGGCAGAACACTTGCCACGTCTTTTGCCACGACCGTATTCCATAGCCAACAGTCCTTTGGAAGCCGGCGACCAGGAGCTCCGCATAATCTATTCCCTGCTCAGCTACAAGCCAGGGGTCACAACCAGCATGTTGGAGGCGAGAGTCCAACAAATCAATCCGGAGCAGCCCGCTCATGTGGTTATCTACCCCCGAGTAAACAACGCATTCCGCTACACCGAGCAGGATCTGGGCAGCAACCAAGTACTCATTGCGGTGGGCACTGGTCTGGCACCGTTCCTCGGCTTCGTGGCCCACAAAGAAAAGCTTATAAGCCAACAGCCGCAGCGGGAAAAGGGTCATTCCTGGCTTTATGTTGGTGCCAAGACACCAGAAGCTATTCTGAAGCGGGATCAACTTGAAGCCTGGCATAAATCGGCAGTTTTGGAGCGACTGCGCATGTGTCATTCGCGAGGAGAATCGCCAGGCTATGTGCAAGAAATGCTGGCGGAGGATGGCGAGGATCTGGTCAAGTTTATATTAAAGCCAGAGACTGTGATATACGTCTGTGCCGATGGTGCCAAGATTTCCCAGTCCATTGCCAATGGCTTAAGCCTGTGCCTGCAGAAAGTTTTGCATCTCACTGAGGAGGAGGCCGTTCGGCAGCTGAAAGAACTAAAGGCTCAGGGCAAATATCGCGAGGATGTTTGGCTTTAAGGAAGCACTCTATGTGCAGTCAATAGCTCCGTAGAAGAAGCCTCTCTAGATGCTCTTACAGTTTAATTTTGTTTTACTTTTGCTTTTTTCTTCAACTTCTTTCGGAACGAAAAGGGAACTTCCTTTTGAATTTTAAATTTGTTTTGGTTTTTCTTTTGTATCGTTTTTTTTACCAATGTTAAAATAAATATTGCAGAAGAATTAAAGCTTAGTTTAATTATATCGATTTGTGAAAAATTTTAAGTACTTAAAACCCGATTTGCTATTATTTTGACTGCAGCCTTAACATAAAAATGTTCCAACAGAATGCTTTGGTCGAATAAGTAAATAACGATATATTTAACAACACAAAATAAAAATTACAGTGCAAGGTAAACTAAATACATACAATTGTGAGGGCCATCTTCAATGATCGAAGTGGATGGGGCTACGAAAACTAAATGGTTTTGGGTCTGTGTATAAGGTTGACTTAAGTGGTAAATTGCAAAATAAATCTAAATAATGGTAGAATATACGAATACGACTTAGGTTTCAAGCAAAACTAAACGTGCGCACATAAAACATAAAATGTATTGGGGGTTTGCCCATTGAATTAAAGCGATCGATAATGCGCTAATGTATCGTTATTGTTTTTACGCGTTTCTAAATATCTATATCTTCGTGTTATTTATCATATTTTTTATTTTATTTGGCAAGTCAGGTTGACCTTGCACAATAATATGCATCTTGTATTTTAACTACATTTAAGTTTAATTGAAATAGAGCCAATTCTTTTGTGTATATTCATATCATTGCGAATCGATCAAAATTGATGTCAGCTTCTTCTTTCGCCTATTCGTCCCTTTACAATTGCAATAAAAGTTGCGTATAAAAAATTATGCTACCTTTTGTTGTTCTTTGTTTGGTTTGAAGACTAAAGTTTCATTTACATTTACGTTATCAATTGCAATATTTGCGTTCGTCTTAAATGCATTCGCGAATATGTAATGTCGGGTATGTCTCGGTTTCCAAAAAGTCTATTAAAACCAATATATACTGACCCTAAAATACTCTCCGTTCGTTGCCTTGCCTAATACTCATTTAAGCTAAACTAAGAAAATCAAGTAAATTTTTAATTAATGGTTAAGCTCTTTTAAAATATTAATGCATAATTATAGGCCAAAAATTGGGATTTCGTTTCGTATATAAAATTTAACTATGAACCGATCTGCAGCAGCAGCAATCCATTGCCTACTTTCTTAAGAATTGCAAGTAAAAGATAATCCCTATCGGTAAGTGTATACATAACAGTTAAAAAAAGCTAACGTCGGCTGGTTAAAGATCTTTGAATGCGCCCTTTTTTGTTCCTTCTTCGTTGTGTTTCACTAAAATATTTAGAAAGTGTGGCGACTAGTTCTAGCTATAATTCTCGAACAAATCTTGTGGTGGTAAATAGCATAAAATATTCTATTTAAAAAGAGAAAAGAAAACAACCTTTTTGGCCAAGGCTTAGGTGTGGATTAGTGCCTCTTCATGATATTCTCTTCAGCAATTTGCATTGCTTTTAATTCCCGTTGGGACTAGGTTTAGTGTACGTATACCACTTCTATATGCATATACTCCCTGTAGGGATATTCTTTGAATCAGTAATTCACTTTAGCTTTGACACACACATTACCAAGTTATATAACAGTTCTATTGTGATAGGGTTTTGTTTAGAACTACAATTTTCTTTGTGCGTATGGCAAAATCTCTCGGGGAAGGAACAGGGAAGTCTATTTTAATTTGTTCTTTTGTGGCGTTTTGGTTAGTCTTAAGTTTGTACTAATTAAAATGGAATATCAAACGTTTTTTCCTCAATCCCGTCAACACTGTGAATATCAGCTAATTTACATGCTCCGGCTAGGTGTCTAATTAGTTATCTGTTGCATTGATATCTGTATTCTACGGGAAATGCATAAATTGTGGAGATAATTTTGCTGTTGCTGGTGTGTCGCTTGCTGCTGCTAGCTCTAGTCCTAATGGCACTTGTTACACTCATTTCGACTTGCTATAATTATCGCCTTTGTTTTTGTTTTTGTTTTGAGTTTTTTTTCTGTTTTTGGTAATTTACAATAGGTATTGCATATTTTCTGTTTTAGGGCTCGTTTGCACTTACTGACTACGACGAATTTTATAAAGAATCGCATAATGCAGATTTGATAAAATCGCTTAAATCACAATTATGTATATATACGGGTATATAAAGTGTAATCAAACTTATGTCCCTACAGTTAATAATACAGTATCTATATCATATGTGCGTGTTTGTGTGCTTGGTCACATATAGAGTATATGCGCCCTGTACGAAGTAAGCTAATTTGCCATAGGACAATCTAATCTAAGCGTTACCCCCGCCCCTAAGCCATCGATGAACTGCTCGAGCGATGCGATATGGATCCACGGTTTTGCGACGGTTTCCCTCTGAATTTTCCGCTGTATGGTCATCTCTCTGCCCTTACTTCCTCGTGCTGCAAAAAAAAAGAAAAAAGCGTTAGTTATTTGTTGTTGTTTAACTTTCAGGTCAGATTTGCTGCACTGCAGACAAGAAAAATGGCAAAACGAAAATGAGATAGCGAATAATTAACACATCGACCTCTAATAATTGTCATCACCCTGAAATACGTTTATGGGCAAAAGAATGTACACTAGCGGGCACAAATATAGGTAAAGTGAAAGCACACAATTAAAAAAAAATTAATACTATATTTTTATAAGATATTGTAAAAACGATTCCACTCTTAAAGTGATTTCCAATAATAAGCTTCTTAAGCAAGATGGACCTAATCCTTTCAAACAAGTGTCTGTATGGCCAAAAACAAAATTTTTCGGGAAGCGTAAAGCAAAGTTAACTAATCAAACAACTGTTTCGTTATCGGCGGGCCCCTTATCAGCGCATTTGATAGAACCAGCTGATTAGCTGGCCAAAGCAGTTGTTTAAAATAGATCGTAACACTCACGCCAGGTGGGCGGGCCTTGAGTTGCGGGGTTGAGGTCAGGTGGACTGCACTTTATAATTAATAATGCATTATCAGTCCTATTTTTATGGCGCCCCATTTGATGGGGAATTTCAGGGGGTATCTGCATAATCTTTTGGCGTCGTTTGCCCATTACGTTCGTTCGACTCCCCTACCCTTGTTCTCTCTGTTGTTGAAAAGAACTATTGTTATGCCATGGGAGAGCTGAGAGCGTCAATTATCAGCACAATAATTGTTTATATTTATCAGCATGTGAAGCGGCACCCGCTCCAAAGTCACGCTTCGATTTCAATGAAATGCGGTCTGCCGAGCATTTTCAGTTTTCCACACAGTTTTTCTTTGACGAAAACAGAAACGAACAGAATAGTCACACAGAAAAAAAGTTGTTTTGTAGTTTTAAATCGAAATCCTAGGAAGACATTAATAATTTACGTATAAATTCACTTTTCAGATGAATAAATGATAAATCGAGTTGAGTTCTGAGTTTGTTTTTGTTTGAATCTGTTAATTTTAGTTTTGTAGTATAACATTTGTAACATCTTTAAGTAATATAATTTTTTCTGTGTAGCTGATAGTTGGTTGGCAGGCAAATGAGAGCGCGTTCCAGATGAAAAGAGGGCCGAAAGAAGTTCACTTGTGGATCGTGTACCAATGCATGCACACATTACATTGCGATCCACTGAGTCGCACAGCAGAAATATATATTTTTATTGCTAGTGTACTTGCAGTGAGGGCATGTGCTTATGTGTGAGTGTGGATGAGTATGTCGCAGGCATTGAAAACTCTGACAAAACAACCGTTCGCAAATGTTACTAAAACCAGTGGATTGGGATTGAGTATAATACACAACTTTGCATTGTTATCTTGCGTGATCGGTCCGGGGACCCACCGGGGGGTGGGTCGTTCATAAACACCGCCCCCTTCGACGTTGGGTGGGAAACAAGTCTCTGGCGCAAAGTAATGAATGAATCATCTAAAATTCCGCATAGCTACCAAACAACAACTTGTGTGGTTCAATAAACGAAACACTCACACACGCAGACAAGCAGCCGAAAAACCTTTTGAGCAAGGTGAAATTATCATTCCACGGCGCCATTCCAAATCGAACTATATGTGAGTGGTTTAGTCATTATTTCTGGGTCTTTGGGCGTCGCTCGCTAGGCCATTTCCAAATGTATCTGGGGATTCACGAGGCCCTTTCACTCACTATCGCACACATGGCAACACAGAGAGAAAAATAGTGGTAATAAATTTATCTATTTCATGAACATTCATATATTTTTATATCATAAGTAAAAAATAATAAACTAGTATTTTCTAATATTTAAATTTGATATAGATATATATGCGACTTAAAAATGGATAAATATTGTTATTTATTTGGCAGGGTGATTTGATTTTTACCAGAAAAGTAAAAATGACCAGACATTACAAATCAAAAAGAAATTAAATATAAATTTAACATCAATTTGCTATTTTTCTGTGTAGCCAGTTGTACTTTGGCCCCAGCATCGAGGTTCCACGCCCAGAAGCCAGAACGGAAAAGAAGAAAATATTTCAGCTTTTGCGGAATTTCGCAAAACCCCTTTGCAGCCCTTTTCCCCTGTTTCCAGTACATTCACAGCATTCAAGATTTCAATATCCGCAAGCAAGCAAATCCATATCACTCTCTTTCTCCCTCTCACGGAAAGCAAAAGTATGCGCCAGTAATATAAACAAATAAAGAGCCTAGAGATCCGGTAGAAGTTGAAAAAGAAGCCAGGGGCGGATCCAGAGAAGCTAACAGGGTATGCCCCATAACCCTTATAAAAATAATATTATGACAAAATAAATTTCATTTTTATCCGTTTTCCGTTTCATTATTAACTGTATTCGAATCCGCCCCTGAAAGATGAAGAGCCGGTGCATCACAATGGAGGGAAAGAGCCAAGGCAAAAGTGGGAGTGGGAGAGGGTATAAATAGCGCAGCCAAGTCGCGACGTCGCCATCTCTCGCTTGTTCCTGCAGCACAAGCAATTAAGTTGAGTAAGTGGGAGGGCGAGCAAAGATGGAGAGGGGCAAGAGTGTGGGAGCACCGCCATCAGAATCAATTATACACACTCTCATTCTGTGTGACTCCACTTTCGCTCTCCCACCGCTCTCTCTCTCTTTATCGTAGAACTTTCACGATCTAGGTTTTTTTTTGCTGTGCTTATCACATCGAAATTGGACAAAAAATTGTTCTAAGAATTTGATAAATTTCGGTCGGCTCCGGTTTTCTGGACAGCCGAGGGGAATTACAATAGCACTTATATTGTGTGTTGTACTCGGCTGATAAGGCCAACACACATGCACTCCGATGCGCGTAGGTGTTTTCTGTGCTGTTTGTGTGTGAATTAAAGTTTTCTTTATTATGATGTATGAATATTTTTTGGCCAGACAAAGCGATATTCCAAACAGGAAATGCGAACGAGCGTGTTAAATTGCGTACTTAGTTGTTGTTTGTTGCTGCTGCCGGAGAGGCTTCTTTCATTTTTTCGTCCATTGTCAGTCTTCAATGGGATGTCTTGTGCAAAAAAAAACTCTGCACGTATGTATGTACCATACGTAATAGGTGGGCAAATGAAAGACAAAAAAATGAATGCAACATTAGCTCTTGCCAAATAGCGGGACATGCTCTAGGGAAAGAGTAAGTGCAACTGGCAGAAACACACAGTTCATTTTTAGGAAACATTTCTTAAAAATATATAAAAATAAATATATCCTATAAAGTCTTACAAAAAAATGTGCAGAAAGTTTAAGGACAAAAATATCTATTTACATATTAACGTTAAAATATCATCTAGAAAGATGATTTTACATTAATGACGTTAACTTTAACACTTTAATTGAAAAAAATCTTATTCAATGGAACTTTTTTTTGTGATTTTAAATCAAGAAAATGCATTCAGAGTTTTTTTTTCGCTCTTGTTTGCAAATAAAGCTTTGTATAAAAATGTTGTAATTGTATTTTAATTTAAATAAACAAGTACGTAGTACGATATCTATGCTTTAACGAGGAGAGCGTAATTTTTAGATCAGTGTTGGCAGTTTGACTCTAATTTCTTTAAAGTTTTAAATTTGTCGAAAAGCATATTTACTCTTCGTGGCGTTGCAAGTCATTTACCGAGTTCAGCATTCTCTTTTCTAACTATTAAAGCACAAAAACAAATTAAGAGACAAAAGCCTCGTGCAATTCGCAACCTTGATCGAATTTTATATGTTGTTCGAACCGGAGCCAGTTACTGATTAAGAGAGTCAAGATAGCCAACTATCGCCGTTTTGGGTTTAGGTTTTTGACAAAATTTGGACAACGCAGTGAAACTAACCCATCGGCCAATAAACCGACAGCCTCTGTTTCCACATGCGCGATTGCGAAAAGGTTTCCGTTGAAATGGATATATCGCTTCGCTTGAATAATGAGCTCGGCCAGATGGGCTGGGCTACCTGGGTATTCGAAGGGCGGTCAGTAAGCGGGACTTACCTGTTTTCGAAGGGGAGTTGCCGGGTCCTAGTCCTGCATTCGCTATTTCTACGGTTGTACACACTACAACGACTACGATCAGCATTCTGTTCCAGTTTCAGTTCCGGTTTCGTCCACACAAAACAAATTTACATTGAAAACTCAATATACACACGGGGCAGATCCCGATCCCGCTTCCGATCACGCGTAGAGCAACCTGGCCGCCCGGTGATTACACAGCAACTATACGTTGCGGCGCAGCACTTTCTTGGCGGCCTTGATGTTGGGCACCAGGGCCTTGACCTCGCTGCAGTCGTTGAGGAACGGATGGCTGAGGAGCTCGTCGGCGGTGGCCCTTCGGTCCACCTCCACCTGGAGGCAGCGGTCGAGGAAGTCCTGCAGGTTGGGACTAAGCTTGTCCCAGCTCTTAATGTCCGGCCGACCATTGGCCGCGATCAGGTAGAGGGCGCGGAGCGGAGTCTCGTACAGGTAGGGTGGCTGGCCTTCGATCATCTCTATGGCCATGATGCCGATGGACCAGATGTCCACCTTTTTGCCGTACTTTTTGCGCGTAACTACCTCGGGCGCCATCCAATATGGGGTGCCCACCATTGTCTGCCGCTTCTCATCGCCTTCGATGTTGGCGCAGAACCCAAAGTCCGTCACTTTGACGCAGCCATCCATGCCAAGCAGCACGTTGTCCGACTTGATGTCCCGGTGAATGATGCCTTTGGCGTGCAGGAAGCTGATCGCGTAGAGCGTCTCGCGGCAGACGCACGCAATTTGGCGCTCCTTCATCACAGTCTCGGTAACGACGTCGGTCAGCGGGCCGCCGTCCATGTACTCCATGACCACCCACAGCTGGTCCTCAGGCTCCAGCAGGTAAGCATCGAGGAAGTTTACCAGGTTCTTGTGGTTGAAGTCCTTGAGCACCCGGATTTCGGTGAGTATGAGGTCCTTGGAGGACTGATTCTTCATGTCGATGGTCTTGACGGCCACCTGCGACTCGTTTTGCAAGTCGTTGGCTATGAACACGATTCCAGAGGCACCTTTGCCCACCTCCTGGGCGGTCTTGTAGCGCTCCCTGGGATCCTCGGGGTTGCAAATAGCCCGGAGCTCGTCGTAGATCTCAGCATCGGTCTTCTGGGCCCGCTTCTCCTTGGAGCGGCGCAGTATCGTCTCATCCGGATTGTCATCCGCTCCGGCATCCTGGGCACCGCCGGCTGGCTTGATAATAATGGTGTCCGTGTTGATTTTATGCTGGTTGTCGGAATCCTCCTCTCGCCGGAGATCCGAGGTGCGGGAGAACTTCTGGGTAACATTCCGGGGTTTGGGCTTGATCTGTGGCTTGGGCGGCATGGCATGTGGCGATTTCTTGGGCGGCACTGGGGGCGGCTCCTGGGGCGCCGCCTTTAGCGTTTCGCGGTGCTCCAGATTGGACTTAAGCTCCTTGAACACTTCCTCCAAGGCGTCCAGCGGCACTGCCGACTGCTGGCTGCTGTCATTGATGCTGCTGCTGTTGCTGTTGCCCGCCGAGGAGCCGCAACCGCTGCTGCTTTCCGTCTCCGTAGTCGTGGAGCTGCCGTCGTCGTCGGATTTCTCCGGATCCTGTGACTTGTGCTTGTTTTTGTAGTTCACATAGTTCTCGATCTCCTTGGACTCCTCGTGGATCACATCCTCGGTGATGAAGGGCTTGAAGGCCTCGTTCTCCTTCTTTTTGATCGAGTAGTTGTAGTATTTCACGGCATGGTAGGCGGCATCAGGATTTTTGTCCTGTTCATCGCGTGTGATCTGTTGGTTCATCAGGCGCAGCCAGGGCGCTGGAAGACCTTCCAGATCTCCCGTCTCCTGGTTCCGCGAGACATGGAAGTGACGCTGGAAGTTTGTGGGCGCGCCGATCTCGGAGATCGCCTCCTTCTTCTTGAACCACTTTGTGAAACTCATCTTTTCAGCGGCTTTCTCTCTTTCCCTTTATATTTGTGTGATCTGTGCGTGTGGAATTTTCTTCCAATGCGTTTAGTTACGCTCGACTTGGGAAATTCTAAACGTTAGACGATTTGTTGTTGTTCGCGTTCTCTATTGTTACTGTTACTCAAGCCACCACTCTCGCTCTCTTTCTCTCCCTCTCACTGAACCAGCCGTGAGTCATAAACACATTCACACGCACGCACACTCGTTCGTTCGGCCTGCGCTTCTCTATGTGTGGGTGTATGCGAGAGCTCTTCTTATCTCTAACTGTAGCTGTAGTTTCTTTTGCTTACGAAAACGTAGAAGATTTTCACTTTTTTTTTGGCCCCACTTGCTTCGCTAATTATTAATTTAGCTACCTTAATTTATTCAGCAATCACCAGTTTTCAATTGCTCGACACAAAGGCGGACGCGGACACGCAAACGCACACATCTCGAAGTCGGACACAAAAGGAGTGGCCGTCGCAGTCTTGTTCTTCCTCTGTCTGTTTTTGTTGTTGTTGTTGCGGAGCCGAAAACTCCCTTCCTGTTCTCAACTATTCCAGGGTCCCATGACTATCCAGCAGTTTATCGTTTATTTTGTTTTTACCAGCTAGCCTCCACTCAAATATTATTAACTTCTTTGGTTTTTCCCCTTCGATGCAATCGCACTGCTGCACTCGGCCTGCTATTGCTGTCGCACTCGCACCAGAGTTGTGGCGATGTATACGATATACAAATTTAAGAAGTGGATATTTTTTTAGTAGCAACCAAATTAATATGGTTGTTTTCTTCCCAGATTTACGGTGCTCCTTCTGCGTTACAATTTATGTTTTTTTAACACGAGCCGAAAAACAAGCGCGCGTGTAATTTCGTCTATCGGCGGAGAAAAAGGTTTGTCCCCAAGGTTGGGAATTGGTTATTTATTATGATCCCGTGATTTAATATTTTCGACGACGCGACTAGATGTGTTATTTTCTTGCTCCTCTTTCTCAACTTTAGCTTAAGTTCGAATTCAGCCTTTTGTAGTTTTAGCGAGGCGCAGCGAAAACACGTCCGAACGGCGATGTGTTGTGTCTCTTTCTCTTTCTCGTTCTTTCTCTTTCTCCATCTTCTTCTCTAGAGATGGAGAAACTTCGATGCCAACACCGATTGTTAAGAATATCGGTCCTATCGATATTTGTCAGGGATTATCGATTAATACTAACTAAAATTAAAAAATGGTCACGCCGAAATTATTAATTTCTAGTTTCAAAAATGTTTGCTTTATAAGTTTCTGTATTCGTAAAAACAGCACCATAAAAATATCACAATGTAAATCTATGCAAATTGTTTTATACATATGCCCAAATTGAAAAACTAAAAATTCGTAGTTTTTTTTTTTTAAATTGGCTAGTTGCATATTTTGATATGTATTTTTATTTTAAGTGTGATTTTGAAAGGCAATTTAATATTTTCTAGGATATATGCGTTTTGAAGTTATGATTACCAATTAATAGGAATTCCTAGAAAAAAAGGTTAGCTTCCTGTTTTTTTAAAACGCTTATCACAAAATAATGTAGTTTATAACACAAAACATTTTAAATAAGAAAGGTGATTCAATAATATTGCACATTGTATAATTATTAATTAAAAAGACCACTTAGATCCGGCCCTGTGCTCAACTGTCTACATCTCCTTTGGTTCCAGCTTTCGCCCATATGGCTTCGAGATAACCCGGTCTTAATGGACCTTACTTTGCCACCAACACCTCATCATATCTTTCGGAAAAAAGAAAATTCAAGGACAAAAGCAAACCTTTTCTGCTTTCCTCGACCCACTGCTGCATAACCCTATCTCCCCAATGCTCTTGCGGAAGTTCATTGCCGTCGTCACCGCTGTAAAGAGTAATAAAATCACAGAATCTGGAAGATAGGCAATGAAAAAACTCAACTGACAATGGTTAATTACGGCACAGCTTCTTCAGAAACCGTGTACCCGACTAGATAACGGCCGCAATTGATAAAGCGTCAGCGAAATATATCGACTTACGGATTCCAAATGCTGGTTAGTTTCCACTCGTCCGCAGAGCCATGCAAAAGCCTCGATTCCCGATCGGTTGCCTCCTGCTCACTGGGATCAGTCTGATCCTGGCAGCATCGCTATCGCGCGTAGATGCCGCAGCCCAAAGAACGCCGGACAGTCGGATCGTCAACGGACGCGAGGCCGTCGAGGGCGAATTCCCATACCAACTCTCGCTGCGCCGCCAAACGGTGCACATCTGCGGCGCCTCGATCCTGTCCAGCAACTGGGCCATCACGGCCGCCCACTGCATCGACGGCCACGAGCAGCAGCCCCGGGAGTTCACCCTCCGCCAGGGCAGCATCCTGCGATCCACTGGCGGCACTGTCCAGCCGGTGAAGGCCATCCACAAGCACCCTGCCTACGATCGGACTGACATGAACTTCGACGTGGCCCTTTTACGAACGGCTGACGGAGCACTCAGCTCGCCGCTGGGCAAAGTAGCGCCCATTCGGTTGCCCGCCGTGGGTGAACAAATTTCGGACAGTGTGTCGGCCATTGTCTCAGGCTGGGGACACATGAGCACCACTAATCCCGTCCTGTCACCGGTTCTCAAGAGCACCACCGTCCTGACGGTTAACCAGGAGAGGTGTCACAACGACCTGCGACACCATGGAGGCGTCACCGATGCGTAAGTAGGGAAAGGGAAACACCGGTCATGATAAACACACATTTGATAAATCTCCAAATCATTTAGTAAAATGTGACAGTGGTATATGTTTTTCCAGATGTTGTTTAAACTTATTTAAACATTATTTATTTATTATATTACTTTTTGAAATTGTTGATTTCCCTTTTAAAAGGGTTTCATTGAATAACTGGTTAGAAAAAGGGGAAATTTAAATTATTTTTTTCTAAATTGTTGACCTCATAAAATATTGTCGAAAGATACAATTTATGTTAGGTAATTCTATGCAATTTGTGTATTAAGTCCAATGTTTTTGAACAGTAAGCAAGTCAATGAGACAATCTTGTAGACTCCCCTTCAACACAATTACAAATAACAATATTTTTTAGTCTTCAAAAAAAGACAAAAAATCAAAGCCTGATAAAAGCTAAACAATTCAGCGATTCGACACATTAACTGAGTCAATTAAGTCTTAACGTTTAATTACCAATCTTTCAGAATGTTCTGTGCAGCCGCTCGAAACACAGACGCATGTCAAGGTGAGTTCTAATCACCTTGTTGATAATGAAAAACTTAACCTGATCGGTCTTGCAGGTGACAGCGGAGGACCGATTAGCTCTCAGGGCACCCTTATCGGAATAGTATCCTGGGGAGTGGGCTGTGCGGACCCATACTATCCGGGAGTCTATACGCGCCTAGCCCATCCCACTATTCGCCGCTGGATACGCCTGCTCACAAAGTTGTAGATTTTAGCCAAATAAATTGAATTGAAAATGTTACTGCATACATAAGTTCTAATCTTTAGTAATTCATTCCTTTTTAGATCTGTAGATCATGTAGACAACTCAAAGATCTAATATAGTATACATATAATTTAAAGGAAAAATAAGCCTAAAAAAGATTAAGCCAATGAGAAAGATCAATGATATCTGAGTTTGGTTTGATTATGTAGCGGCATTGATTAAAAAAGCTGTATTAAGAAAAAACAAATAAAGGAAAAGTTTCTAACAAACATATTATTTGATTCCTACGTAAACTTTTCATATGCGTATAATTAATTTTTAGCTAAACAAGTTTTTGGTATATCTATTTCTATATAATTTTGCTATTTCTTCTGTTCAAGTGTTTTGAAGAACAAGTTATATTGCTAACATTATAAATATAATTTCTAGAAAAAATATTGAGTCCTTCGTGTGTCTGGTAGATACTATCTACTTTTAAAAAAATCGCGCCCTAACCACCGTTACATAAACAGCTGATTGGGGGCGATAGACGATTGTCGATAAGCTGACGCACCGATAGACAATTGGCTGGGAAAATGTACGCGAAATTATAATATTATAATATAATAAATAATAAATAGTATTTTTTAAACTATAGCCATTCAACCGGGGTGAAAACGAATCCGTTTGTGAAAGTCACAAAATAGGAGCAATCGCCCAGGCGGAGCACATAATCCCAAAGATCGGGCGAGGGAGTGGCAGTGGAGGAGTAGCGGCACTCATTCTATTTAGGGTAAGTGCGTCTGAAAAGGGCACGGGGATAAGACACTCCGGATCAGCACTCTATATCTCTATATATCCCGGCTACCCGACTAGTTTTGTGCTGAATGTCCTACTGGCGTTGGTTGTGGTTGGCCCTCAAGATGATTTACCAGCTGCTGTGCTGCTCAGTGAGCCTAATCCTCTTCTGCTTCAACGTATTCTGGCTGTTCTGCAACCTGGCCATACCGTGGTGTACCCTCACCCTGCTCATCGTCTGCATCGCTTCCAAGTTCGTGAAGCTGCAGCGCAGTCCCAACGAGAAGCGTCTGCTCAGCCTGCTGAGCACGCCGGAGGATCGGCCCAGCTATTGGGCCATCGCCAACCGGGCGGCCGGCTTTGATGCGCCCGAAAACTCCAAGGCAGCCATTAAAAAGGTGGGTGGTGACGTCACGAGCCGGTGGTCGGCAGCACAAAAATCAATAACATCCCCTTTTCCACCCCCTTGAATAAACATGTGAAAACAGTGCCTCGCACGTGGCTATCGGAACGTGCTTCTGGATGCCGGCCTCACGTCCTGCGGCGAAATAGTCTTGGCCAACCCCAAACGCCTGAATGTGGCCCAACAGTCGCTGGACGAGTTGCAAAAGCTAAACATCACGGAACACCATCCGATGGGGTAAGGCACATCACATCAGTCAAATGGAAATGCTCTTAAGTCACATTTATATGTCATCGCACACAGGTCGCAGTACGAGCCGGAATCGATGGCCTCACTCAGACAGTTCGCCGAGTTCCTGGACGCGGAGGCTGACCAGGCCACGGTTTTTCTGCGCCTGCACGACACCAGCGCCCGGATGCTCGACCAGCTGCAGAAGTTTATGACCACCGACGAGGCGTTCACCCAGCGCACAGTTGTCATCAGTAGCTCACCACTTGCTATTTACCAGGTGAGTCGGAAATCCATTCATTCACTTTTCTATGTGGTTGACTAACATTCTTGGATTTGCAGCTGCGAAAGCTGAAGCCAGAAATCATTTGCGGCCTTTGGCACGAGACCTTCTTGTCACTGGCTATCCTCAAGTCCTCTACACTTGTTACTTCAATCTACGGTGCTATTTTGCGCAACATTATTGCCCCCGTAATCGGAATAAGCGTGGTCTTTCTAAGTAAAGAAGAGATAAACTTGTAAGTCATTAGATTATTGCCGACTTTAATTAGGTCATAAAACAGTAGCTAATTTTTTAAACTAAACAAATTTTCAATCTTTATTGACAGTCATTTTCAGCCAAATTATTATTTTTAAACAAAAATAGAAAAACATATCGTTGACTTGAAAATCCAATTAAGTACAAACTGTTCGTTTAAAGCAAAAGAAAACTGTTTTTTCATATTAATATATTTATCTCTAAATAAATTAAAATGTTTATTTTTGATTGGCACTATTTGATCTTTGCCCTACTGTTCATGGTATAAAAATAAACACGTTATTTTCGTTTTCAGGCACATTGCCGATCTGTGGCGCAACGTGGGTGTCCGTCCAATAGTCTACATGGTGAATTCACCTAACGAGAAGCGATACTTTCAAAAGACTATGAAGATCCAGTATCTAACCGATTCACTGCGGTCCGAGCCGCATCTTCTTATGAAGGCCTAAGAGGATCTTGGGGATTTGAACGAACGAAAACAACAAACAAACGAAGATCGACGCACATACACTTACACAAAACTGTTTGCATTTAGCTGGCAGAGCTTAGTCTTTAAGAAGAACTTATGTACGCATGTGTTTTGTAGAAGCCTTAGAAAGTATTATTCCCAGTTTACCAGCACCAGTGAGATTGAAAGTATGATTTAGTTAAGTTCTGTGCTTTGCTTAAGTTAAGCATTTCGTTTAATATTGACGTCCCGATTTATTTATTTTGTTATTTATGGATTTATTTTGCTTTATTTTAAACGAACACTTGTTCTCAAATTTTGTATAGGCTTTACGCGATGTACAATATTTCTACTCATGTACTCTGCACACCATCATATGCCCTATATGGCGTATGATTTTTGGATGTGCTATTTAGGTATACATACACCCAGCTTTTATATTATTCCCCTTGTTACCCAGATCCCAAAGGTAATCAAAATCCTAAACAAAAATGTTTACCAACATAAGATATATGTGTCTATACCAAAAACCAGTTTAAATGAAAACTACTTTTTATTATGATGATAATAGCAAATAAAGATGATTGCAACGATTGATTTAAGTCCATATTCCTGCTTCTTCAATAATCAGTTTTCAGTCATAAGGTTTATGAATCTTTATTATTTTTGGGGGTTTTTGATAGTGTCTTAAAGGTAAAACTATATATATGTATTAATAGTGTGAATGCCTTAAGTCTATTAAGGATTTTGGATTTCTGAGCGAAGGGAGCCACCTATGTCCCACCGAAAATGGGGATTAACAATAAACTTAAATATTGTGCCTTGATTAATTTATAAATGCAAACTTTTTATACATAATTTAGTAACATAAGTGGAAAAAATGCAATATTATAAGATAACCAAAACAAAAATTATACAAAGTGGTGCAAGCTTCTGGATAAAATATATAGGTTTTACTTCCGGCGGGATCGAGTTGAGACCTCCGGCGCAGCCTCAAAGTGCACCTTTTTGCCAAGTCCACCGCGCACTGTCGCCGCTGATGTGGAGGCGGCGACTCCGACTTGGGTATCCCCGACGGGCTGCTCTGGTTCTACCGCCTTCGCGCCTCGTGCTCGACTTCGAGCAGCGGGCTTCTTGACTGGCTCCTCCTCTTGATTAGCGGCAGACGCTTCTGCAGACGTTTCTGCCACAGGTGTTTTGGCACGTGATCCACCTCGCGTCTTCTTGGTGGGTGGATGCTCCTCCGAGTCGGTCTCGACCTTGGCTTTGCGTGCCGTGGCGCGAACATTCCTTTTGGCCGGCTTTGGGTCCGACTCCTCCGTGTCGCTGTGATGACCGCGAGATAGTCGCTTACTGGCTGGCGCCGATGCATCGGCTACGTCGTCTGCCTTGCGACGTGTAGCACGACCTTTGGCCGCGGGCGCCGGCTCATCTTCCGGCGCAGATGCCACAGGTGTTTTGGCACGTGCTCCGCCGCGCGCCTTTTTAGTGGGCGGATGCTCCTCCGGCTCTGTCTCGACTTTGGCTTTGACTTTGCGTGCCGTGGCGCGAACGTTCTTCTTGGCCGGCTTGGGGTCCGACTCCTCCGTCTCGCTGGGATGATCGCGAGCTCCTCTCTTACTGGCTGGCATCGATGCATCGGTCACGTCGTCTGCCTTGCGACGTGTAGCGCGACCTTTGGCCGCGGGCGCCGGCGCCTCTGCTGGTGGTGGGCTCTCTGGTGTCGCTTTCTTTACGGGGGGCTCTTCATCCTCCACCGCCTTGACCTTGGGTCGCTTTGGAGTCGCCGGACGCGGCGAGGAGTCCACAATCAACTCCAGGGCCTTCGCAGTGAGATTGCGCACCCGACGACTGCGAGCCGATGTGGGCTTGTCGTCATCAGGCACCTCCGTGTAGTTCTTGCGCGGCAGATTGCGTCCCTCGCGCCGCTGCGAACTGATGGGGGTGTCTCCTACCTCGACGGCCGGTTGTTTGGCTGTGCCTGTGGCTGTCAGTGCATCTTGCTCTGGCGCCTTGCTGGTGTCGGGAGTGTCTTCCGCCAAGATGGGCGGCTGCTTGGTTATGGGTGTCGCTGTTAGGGCATCTTGCTCTGGCGCCTTGTTGGTCAAACCCTTGCTCGCCGCTGGCTTGCGTGCCCGGCGCGATGCGGAGTGCGGTTTGTCCTCGTCTGGCGCCTCTTCGTAGTTTTTACGCGGCAGGTTGCGGCCCTCGCGCCTCCGCGGAGTAAGTTCTTCTCCATCACTCGTCTTCGAGGGGGAGCTAATGGTGACAACGGTTGCCGGCACATTTTCCGTGGACAGGTTCTGTAAATCAATTTGATTATTCTGTTCTTCCTCGTGGACATCCTCTTTGCGACCTCGTCGGTGTGTCGTCTTCTTGGCCACTGGCGTCCCGTCGTCGACATTCGCAGAAGCCTTGCGGGCACGTCGCAAAGGTACTTTCTTCTCCGGTGCTGTCAATGGAGTCGTTTCCACATCTGCGCTCGGCTTTCGACCGCGTCGCGTTGGTTTTGCCGCTGGCAGCTCCAAAACCTCTGTTGGGATGTCCTCCTTGTGCTCCTGATCCAAGGACACCCTGCGTCCCCGTAGCTTTGGCTTCGGCTCCGCTATGTCCGCAGTTTTTGGGCCCTCATCTTCGGTAGCCTTGCGTCCACGCCTGCGTGAGTGAGATGGGATCTCCACCGTTTTCTCTGGCGAGTTTGTTTTTATGGGTGCCTCCTCCTCCGCCTCCTTGGGCAGTGGATTAATTGGAGCTGGTTCTGATTCCGAATCCGGCTCGGTTGCCTCTGCAATTTGCTGAAGATGCTCCTCCCCGCTGGTCGAAACGGCTTCAATAGTTTCAGCCGAAGCTTTGCGCGCATTGCGCCTGGTCTTTTTCTCAGGCCCCACAACTGGCAACGGCGGCTCCTGCTTCTCATCCTCCTTATCGTGCTCTGCTGGAGTTTTACCCCTTCGTTTGGGTTTCTCCAGAGCTTCTTGGGCCACATGATCGATGTCTACTGATGGCTTGCGACCCCGACGCTTGGGTTTTTCAATGTGATCGTCCTTAGTTGCTTCCTGGACATTAGCAGCCAGAAACTCGGCGGATTTTCGTGCTCGCACTTGGGGCTTGCTTTCCTCTTCAATAGATGCCAGCGCGGCCTCCGCTTTGGTCTCTTCTGTGTTATCATCCTGCTGTTTACTTCCGGTGGCTTCCAGCACCTCTGCCGATGGTTTACGTCCCCTGCGCTTCGTTTTCTCCACTGGAACTTCTGCAAGATCTTCGCTTTTCTGCTTTTCAATAGAATGAAGTTCATCTGATTTGTGCTTATTGTCTGGTACTAGGCTTACGTCTTCTGATGCTTTGCGAGCCCTCCTACTTGGCTTTTCTGGAACTACTTCCGGCTCTTTCTCTAAGGTCTCAACTGGCAAAGGCTCTTGAGGCTGCTGCTGTTCAGAGCCATCCAAATGGTCTTGATTGGAATGCGGAGGCTTGTCTTTATTGGTGGCTTTCAGGTCATCTTCAGTGTGTTCATTCATGAGCGATGTCGTTTCCGTTTCCTTGGCCGATGGTTTCCGCCCACGTCTTTTAGGCTTTTCTACGGTATTCTTCTGGTTGATAATTTCGTCTTCTTTTGGGTTTGGCATTTCAATAACTGATGACATTGGCACAGGCTGTTCAAGTTCTATTTCTTGAGTGGAAAGCGGAGTACCATCTTCACTGACGATCTCTAGATCAAATTTAGTATTTTCTTTTTTGTCCGACGAGGGATCTGTTTCTTTTGCAGATGCCTTGCGCCCTCGTCTTTTCGATTTTTCAATGGTGCTCTCCTTCTGGTTGGAATCATCATCTTCCTTCTCAAGTTTTGACTCATTTGCTACATTCAGCGACCCAACAGTAACAGGTTCTTGAGGTTTCTGTTGTACCGTCTCTTGTGGCTCCGCCTCTTCTTCTAAGATGGGTTGCAGGACTTCTTCCGCTTTGTGGCCTTCAACATGTTCCTTCTGTTTGATCGGCACAGAATTTTCTGTTGATGGAGTACGACTTCGTCCTTTTCTTTTTTCTAAGATGTCTTCTTGTTTGCTCTCATCTACTTCCGCTGATGGCTTTCTAGCTCGGCCCTTGGGCTTAACGTGCACATCATCCTCTTGCTTATTATCCTTTTCATGGTCATCAACCTCAGCAGAGGGTTTCCGCGCCCTCTTCTTGGGCTTTTCAGATCCGATAGCCTCTGCAGGTCTATCGGAGGAAACCGATCCCTTTCTAGTCACCCGATTTGCTGGTTTAGTATCACCTTCATATGGGAATTTATCTTCGTGATTCGATGGCTTGCGAGTTCTCTTCGTTAACCCAGAAATTGGCTCTTCTAAGTAATTCATTTTTAGGTCGACTTTTTCTTTATTTTCTGTTCCCAAATCTGAAGTACTTTGATCAAGCTCCTCACTTGGTTTATTTTCAGTATTGATTTGGCTTTGCTTAGCATAAGCGTTTGAGACTGGAACTTCCTGTACAACCACGACTGCTGAATTTGGTAGTTCTGAAACAGGTTCAATCTCACCATGATCCGTTTTTCGTTGGTCTGATAACTCTTTTGCAGCGTGATAATCAAGTACTGGTTTATCAATTGTCTTCTGGTCCTGCATTTCTAGCATAGTTTCTGGTTCAGGAGATGCAACGCCTTCTTTCGGAAGGTTATCCAAAGTGGCGTCATACTTTTTAGCGGCACTGACATTTTCTTCTATAGACGCTGGCTTAGCTAGCTCATCTGATACCTGTGGCTCATCTGATGGCAATACAACGGAAACAGAAAAAGAAGTACTTGCTTTTGGTGCACCACATTCTTTGTCATCAATAGTTTCAATAAGTGTTGACTCAGGTCCTTGCGCGCTTGAACTGGAATCATCCAAATCAATGACATCCATCTGTTTCGTAAGTGTAACTTTTTCATCAGTGGACTCGAGTAGCGATGTTTCAGGTTTCAGAGGTGATATATCTTCTTCGTGATGGATATCCAAAGTGGCATTAGAAGTTGTTGCTCTTCTATCACTATCTTTGCCGGCAGTGAGATGTTTTACAAGATCATCTGGTACCTGAGGCTCTTTTGTTGCCTTTGATGCTAGTATATTTTCGTCAATGGTTTCGGGTGGCGTTGTTGCAGGTCCTTGTGCGCTTGAACTGGAATCATCCAAATCAATGACATCCATCTGTTTTGTTAGTGTAACCTTTTCATCAGTGGACTCGAGTGGCGTTGTTTCAGGATTCAGAGGTGATGTGTCTTCTTCGCGATGGATATCCAAAATTGCATTAGAAGTGGTTGCTTTTTTATCACTATTTTTAACGACAGTAAGATGTTTTACAAGATCATCTGGTACCTGAGGCTCTTTTGTTGCCTTTGATGCTAGTATATTTTCGTCAATGGTTTCGAGTGGCGTCGTTGCAGGTTCTTGTGCGCTTGAACTGGAATCATCCAAATCAATGACATCCATCTGTTCCGTAAGCATAACTTTTTTATCAGTGGATTCGAGCGGTGTTGTTTCAGCTTCAGAAGGTGCAATGCTGTCTTTCTCTAGGTTATCCAAACTGGATTCAGAAGTTGATATTCTTGTATCACTCTTTTGAGAGGAAATTAAAGTGACAGACTCTTTTGCAGGCGCTGGTTCATTATTTGATTCCTGAGGCTCATCTGTTGGCAGCGTAAATGAAACAGAAGCATTTGCATTTGATGCAACAAGTTCTTCTACAACAATCTCCTGGATTGAGGTTGTTTCAGGTCTTTGTGCGCTAGAACTTGAATCTTCCAAATCAATTACTTCCATTTGTTCGGTAAGGGTACCTTTTTTCTCAGTGGCTTCGAGTTGAGTTGTTTCAGGCTTAGAAGGTGCAACGCAGTCGTCCTCAAGATTATCCATTGTGGCTACAGTTTTCTTACTAATTTTAGCGTCAGTGTCAGTGACAGATTTATCTAAAGGCGTTGGCTTAGCTGGTTCATCTGATACCTGCAGCTCCTCTGTCGGAAGTGCAACTGAAAGCGAAGGACTTGCTTTTGACTCGACAAATTCTTTTTCATAAATGGAATCGAGTGGTGTTGTTTCAGGTCCCTGGGCGCTCGAGCTTGAATCATCTAAATCAATAACTTCAACTTGACTTTCGGTACGTGTAACTTCAGACGGCTTTTTCTGTGGGGTAAATGTATCATCTATCTGTTGGTCACCTGATTGTGTTTCCATTGCTTCCTTTACAGTTTCCTGTACTTTAGTTGATGCTTCTTGCTCTACAGCGATTGCACTAGATACGTCTTCTTCAGTTTGACGTACAAAACTTTCTTGGTCATTGGAATTTGGAACCTTTAGCTCGATTTCTGGTGCAGATGTATGGTGAATTAAGATTTCTTCCTGGTCCTTATCTGATTCATTTACTCGAGAGTCCGAATTATGCTTTGTAGAAACTTCGGCGGTCATAGATAAAATATTCGGGCAGCTTCCTGTCTCGGAGGACTCTTCCGTAGAAGTCAATTTTACAACAGTTTCTTTATGAACCTCAGCATCAACAGACATTTCTTGACTAGCGTGCAACATGTTGCTTAAGACATTAGACTCTTCGGTTTGCTCCACTATCTCAACTCCATGATTATTGGAAGAGGATTTATCTATATTAGCTTCTGCGGTCTCAGTTTCCTGTTGTTCCGTGTCCGAAATTGGCTTTGTTTTCTCACAACTAGATGGTTCCTCGAGGATAGATACTTTATTGTGCTCATCGGTAATGGAATGCTCAATCAAAGAATTTTCTACCAGTATAGATTGCTCAACTACGTTCGAGTCATTCAAGTCAATCACCTCACCGTCAGCTCCGTTTTGTTTTGACGTTTTAGACACAGATTTTGCAGCTTCTTCTTTATACATATCCTCATCTTGCTTTGTTTTGTCCTTTAGAATATTTATATCGTTGGATTGTTTAGGGATAAATTCCTCAGTTAGTAAACTTTCATCTAGCGGATTTTGCTCTGCAATGCTAGACTCATCTAGTTGAATCACATCTTTGTCTAGTCCACACTCGTCAACTTCCTCTTTGTCCAGCTCTTTATTCTCCTTCATTTGGTCGCAACTAGATGATTCACCTAGAATAGAAACATCTTGGGGCTGAACAGTCGCGGAGACTTCATTTGGAGAACAATCATCCAGTGAAGTATGTTCTACTATGCTCGAGGCATCTAACTGAATGACCTCTTCGTCGGTTTCCTTGCCTGCCTTTTGATCCAAAGCCTTATTTTCCATTGATTCTTCCGGATTAGAATCTTCTTGGGATTTATTTTTTCCGGTATCTTCAATTAATGAACATTCTTTTAATGAAGTTTCCTCAACATGGCTCGTTGCATCCAACTGAGCAACAAGATCGTCTGTTTTTTCTGCTTGATTAGAAGGTTCTTTAAGTTGGCTAGATGATTCATCCAAAATAGGAACTTTGAGCTGATCAGTAATAGATTTATCAATTTGCGCACTTTCATCTATAGGAGTGTGATCAACTACAACCGATGTAGCGATATGAATCTCCTTATCCTCAGGACCGTTTTCGCTTGGTTTTTCAGCTTCCTCTGCGGAGTTAACTTCTTTGCATGATTCCTCTTCTTTTTCTTCAATGTGCGAAGTTTTATCCAGAGAATAAGTCTTAGGCGATAATTGTCCCTGGCCGCTGATTTGAGGATTTTCAGTTGGACTTACATTTGTCGATGTGTCCATCAAAGTAAAATCTTTCGGTATATCTTCGGTTATATCCTTATCTAAGGATTTTTCATTAGGAAGTTCGGCCGCACCCGGTAAAGTTTCCACATTCGGCTGGTCATCGTGATTTTGAATGCTATCCTTACTTGGAGCTGCCAAATTTGTTCCAGTCGATTTTACTGACGAATCCACAACTTCAGAATATTGGATCTCATCGGTTGAGCTGGGAGATGATATATGCTGTGCAGATTCGTCACAAGTTTCATTCTTGGCTGCGTCTTCAAGTCCTGAAGATTCTTCTTGGTTTTCTTTTGCTTTGCTTTGACCATCCGTCTCTTCGGCAGAAATAATTGTAGGTTCATTTTGACTTCCCTGTTGATCTTCACATTGCTCTCGATCTATAGCGGAGATAGTGGTAACGCTGACAGGAGTTGCCTCACAAATTGCAATTACATCTTTTGGAAGTAGTTCAGGTTCTTGACCAACGCTATCACCAGTTGCTGCATTAGTGGTTTTTTGAAGAGGCAGATCGGTTTGTGAATTTGCTGATAATGTTTCGATGATTGGTTGATTTGGTATTGCTTCAGTAGACAATTCATCAGATTTTCTGTCCTCTGAATATTCTTGGGAAGGTGAAGACTCGATGATGGATTGATTTCTATCTTTATTAGTAGACACCTTGTCAGTTTGTTGTTCTGCCAATAAAGTTTCGATGACTGATTGATCAGTGACAGTTTCAGTGGATTCATCATCAAGTTTGGGTTCTTCTGGACATTTTTCAGATGCTGACTTGATAATGACTGGTTCATTAGATTCAGAGGTATTTTTTAGAGACAAATCATTACTTTCTTCTGGAAGTCCATCTGAAGTTGATGTTTCAGTGAGTGGTTTGTCACATTCTACATCAGTGTTCTTTTCAAGATCAGATTGTGGTTGATCCAAATGACAAACGTCTTTCTCTGCAGCTTTTACAGCTACAACTTCTGTAGATTTGACACTTGCAAGGTTTGTCGTCTTGGAATCGACTGCTTTAACATCAACGTTAGGTAAGATGTCCACCACACTGCAGCTAGAAACATTCGAAGGAATGACAGAACTATCTGTAGTTGTGTCTAGGGGAAATATCTCGGACTCTAGGATCGTCAATTCCTCAACGGCAGATTCATTATTTTCTTGACCTGGTGCTTCCTTATTCTTAGAAATATCTAGTTCAATTATCAGAGATTTCTCTTTAAGAATTTCGTCATCTGCTGGTTTTGTAACGTTAATACTGCCCTCAGTTGTGGAATCTTCAACTTCAATCAGTGAGACTTCAATGTTAGAATCCATGTCTTTTTCTTTAACTGATGTCTCAACAACAGATTTGTTGTCAATCAAATCATCGGTTTCTTGAAGCTTGTAGGCTGTAGATGTTTCCCCGAAACTCTTAGGCTTTTTGGGAGTCCCTTCGCATTCATCTTGCTCCTCTTCATCATCACTAAATACTAGGGGCTCAGTAAGACCAACGTTGGAATCTGTGTCGGACCGATCCTCAATGTGATCCGCAGGTTGGATGGTCTGACCCGATGTCCTTGTCTCGTCGACAGTAACGTCACACGACTCCACACCCGTCACTATTAGAGGTTCGGAAAACATAGAGTCCGATGTCTGATCCAGCAACTGTATGCCGCTCATCTCGTTTGGATTGGGCGAGGTGGTCCTGGAACCACCATCTCTGAAGGCGCTTAGATTCAGATCGGCCTGCATCGAAGCCTTGTAAGTGGTGCTGGTCAGAGGATCCTTAAGGGAATTGCCCATTGTTGCCGTATTACAGCCCGTCATCAGAGCCTCCGATGACACGGAGTCATTCAGCTTTGAGGAACCCAAGGGATCCCCACCAGTCGCTGTGCTGATCGCAGTGACATTTATCTCGGCTTCGGTGTCCTCCAAGTTGGTACCAGTTGTTTCGGGCATGTCATCAAAGATTTTGTCCAAATGCAACGTGTTATTCGTCATGTTCAGATCGTATTCGGTGGTCGTCGCCAAAGAATCCTCGCGAGACTTCAATACCGCACTAGCAGGCTCATTTGGCACCATTATATTCCTGGCGCTGGGCGTCTTCAAAATTCCCTCCAGTGGGTTTCCCTGCTCAACGCGAGCCACCGTGATGCTCTTGCTCTTGTGGTACGGCGTGCTACCAGCAGAGGTTTCTAACAGCTCTGCTAAGTTTCCCAAAATTGGTGAATCGGGAATCTTCGGCGTGCGCATCATTTCCCTCAGTCCTTTGAAACGTGGCGTGCTACAATTTTTGGGTGTTTTTAACAAATCTTTCAAGCCGTGGTAGTCCACTTTATCTGCATTATCGACGGGGAGTTCGTTGCCATAATTCTCGTCATCAGCGATGGCCGATTTCTCTTCTGTAACAAAAAGTATCTCAATAAAATATTTTCTTTTTTTAAGTGCAGTGAACATTTCTCCAGTAGGTTGGAATGTGTGAGTTCAGTAAACTATAATTAAATTTTTGTCACTCACCGTCTGCTGGACCATCTTCCTCCAAGATGACGCCCATATCGCCCACAGATTCATCAACTTGATGTTCCCGCTTGGGCGTGTTAATGAGACGCTTCGAATGGCGCGTTGGCGTAGACATTTCCTGTGTAAATCGACGCTTGCGTCGTGGAGTACCCAAGTCTTGGCTTTCCACCGCCGAACAGGAAGCTCGGCGTGTGCGCTTAATGTTGTCCTGCGGATCAGTCTTTTTGTTGGTGTCCACAGAGGATCTACGAGTGCTCCGCCGGGGCGTTGTGGTCAGTGCCCTCTGGTCAACAGAGAGTCGGCGCAAACTTCTCCTAAGTACGGGTGTCTCAACATTTGGAGTTTGTTCGTTCACCTTTTGTGATGTCTTGCCTGCCGTATTAGTTTAAGAAATTAGTTTAGGTTAATTAAAAAAATAACATTTTATACATACCCAGTTCAACAGGTACATCAGTAGACTTAGTCTCCAATGCCACCTCTTCGCAAATTTGATCTTCAATTATTCCATCAGAGCTAGCTGTATTCGTTTAAAAAAATTATTTACTATCGTAAAAATATTTTTTCAAAATAATTTCACTTACCATTATTGGTTTGCTCTGGAATATTTGCATGAACCTCTTCACAAATGCTATCCTCGATAACAGATTCTACTAGTTTTTCGTTAACTGGAATGGTTTTCTCCTTGTCTTGTAGACTATCCACTGGCGATTTTGTTGATACCTCTTCAACATTAGCAGTTTTTATATCGTTTGGCTCCACATCTTCGTCGCAACGTTCCAGTTTTCTATTTTTTTCATCGAGTATGGCATCATCTTTCCTAGAATTCACTTCTTCCTCTTCAGATTTGACATCCTCTTCGACAGAAGAACTTTTCTTGTCAAATACTTCGGATGCGAGCTTAAAGGACACTTCATTTTCCACTTCACCAGTGACGAGAGCAGCTACCGCTTCAAAAACTGTTCCCAGCCCACTCTGTTCCCTTCCTTCGGTTTCATCCATGATGGTAAAAGTGCGGCTTAATTCGTCCTTTGAATCGTCAAGTTTCTCCGGAGTAGAGCACTTGTTCTGGGGCAAACTAAACGTGTTTATCGGACATGGCGATGCCGGCTTCGACGATCCCGGCTTTGGGGATGCGCTCTTGGGCGAATTGAGCGAACGCCGTGCCTTGGCTACCAGCTTGTTGCTCTTGTCAACCCCGGGACTGCGCTTGGCCGCCGCAAATGACTTCCTGAGCTGGGAGACCTTGTTATCCCTGGGACTTTCCATGAGTGATTTTCGCTTGCGTGGCGATGTCTTGGGCGCATTGCCTCTTGCCTGCTCATCCAGCCGGTGCACTGGCGTCCGCCTAACCGGGTGGAAGGGCAAACGACGGGGCGTGGTAAGGCACTGACGACGGGCCTCCAGCAGCGATCCTGGTCGCTTGGCATTGGCCACGGGCGTGGTCTTATCTGTCTGGTTGGCGGTGATCTGCTTCTTGGTGCTGGTAAGAAGCGCCCGTTTCATGAGGGACTGCGGCGTTCGCTTGGGTGTGGCGCCAGTGACGCCACCAGGACGTCGGGGAGTGTTGTTCCGTGACGAAGGGCCTGGTGGCGGCGTGGCGGAGTTGGTTATATCAATGACCAGCGGCGAGGCATCGGACGACTCGTCCGTGCTGTCCACGGTAATGGACGTAGGCGTCTGCTTGGGCGTGAGTGTGGGTCGTAGCTTTGAGGGTGTGGTCAAGTCGATCAGATACATGGAGGACGCTCGCTTGGCCTTCTGCGAGGTGGACGGCGTGCTGAAGTCCATCAGATCGCGGCTGCAACTGTCTTCGTTAAGTTCCGAAAGCACGCCGCCCTTCGGAGTGCTGTACACGCTCTTGGGCGTGGATACGACCGAAGCCGCTTTGACCGGCTTACGCACACAGGTGAAGGACTTCTCCACTTTGACGCCCGTCTCGCGCGGCGAGAACGAGGTGATGACCACGTCGGAGCGGGCGCACAACTGCAACAACTTCAGATGGCTGCCCGGTGGAGTGGCCGTGTTTTCCTTGTTTTGCGTGGAGTCCAGCAGATTCACTTTGGGAGTCTCGCAGGCTGTTATTTCCGAGCTGGGTGGAGTGGAGATATTAAGGCTGTCCACCTCCAAGAGGGATTCGTTCTGATCGCGCGACTCTATGGAAGTATTGCCCTCGTCATCCGAATTAATGCTGTAGTTAAAGCTGAAAAAAAAAATCGGGGAAATAAGGATTTATGAGGACCATTTACAGACAGGCAACACATGCTTGCAACAGGGATTTTATTTCTTCCTATTGTTGTTGCTGTCGGGGACATTCAAGAAATTTTAGGGGTTGGCCAGGTAGGCGGCCTGGCGTCTGCCTGCTGCTTTTCACTTACTTGTGTACCGTCAGGCGTTTGTCGATTTGCGGCCGATGCGATTGCTAAGGGCAAATAGAAAACATTCGGAACATGTATGAATGTCTTAGAAGACTGTACTCGCTGGTGGAGATTGTGGACACTAACCTTCGGCGCGGGGCAGGAGTTCGAGGCCTGCTCGACGGCCAATGTGGTGCTCTTGGGGGTGCTCGGTTCGTCCTGCGTCTCTGAGGACTTGGGGAACTCCCAGGTGTAGACCTTGTCTCGAATGGTGATGCGACAGCCATGAAGCAGGGGACGCTTGCCATTGCACGAGTAGAATTCCTGGTCGTTCAGGTGGATGGGCTCCTGGCTGGACTTGTTGTAGATGTTGACCTAAACAACGAAAACCGCGGAATGTTAGGGCGTCAGGCTAAAACCGTTTTTTGTAGTTCAGACTTACCCTGCCGAATGCGTCGCACTTTATCTCACAAAGCAGCCGCTCCTCCTGCGGATCCTCTATGGTCAGGTCGCAGTTGAAGTAGGAGCCCACCTGGAAGGTGCGTCCCTTGGCCGCCAGGACCACGACTTGGCCATTTTCATCCTCATAGCGCAATCTGGCGCCTTCCAGCGACATTTTCCCAGCGGCGTCGCAAATGCGGCTTGGGTGCGGGGAAAACGAATACCGAAGCGAGTACTAAGAAAAGCCGCAAAGCCGTCGAATCTATTGGTGATTTCGGACGACGCGATTGAACAACACACAACACCCACGAACTTTTCACTGTTTTCTAATTACACTAATCCATAAAACGCTTTTTTTACGGCCTACATCACGAGCTTGCCGAAGTCAGTTAATTGTACCGAAAACTCTGTGAAGGAATTTTTTTTTTTTTGCAATGGACGCGCAAGTCATGCCAACCTGGTGCGAATGCGCCGGCATAGGCGTTACATTTGAAATAAAGGGCGCGGGAACTGGCAACTCGATTTATGTAAAGGTATATACCATCTGAATGCAACAAATAGTTCTTATTTTAATAAGTTGTTACATAGGCATTGTTTTTAAGGATATAAAGAAGTCAGTAATCACACTTGCGAAATGAGAGGTGTTTCTTTCTTTTATCATAAATTTCAGCCCTGGCTTGGACAATCTCTTAGCCAGTGTTGCAAGGTATGAACCACTTACTATTAAATTTAAGTACTGATAATTACTATCAAAATACATTAAAATTTTAAAGAAAACGAGAGCTAACGTCAAGCATGGATTCGAGATAATATATATAGAAAACTGCTAAATTTTTACCCAATGTTTCTAAAGGCAGCTATAGGGTATGTCTAGTCATGATGATCAAGAATGTAGATACTCTTTAATGTCGGAGACGTGTTCTTTTCTGCGTTAGAAACTTCTTACTAATTTTGTAATAAACGAAATTTATGAGGGTATTATAAAGTAAGGGCTATCTATGCATTTTTAATAACATTTTTTATTTTTGTAAAGTTTAACTTTTCATAAGAGCAAAATTGTAAATGTTTATTAAATTGGGTACGCAGCAATACACTCAACTGCTACCTTTCTCAACACTGGTTGTGCAAAGAATTAAAGTGCGGTCCAAGGAAAAGCTTTCGATAGTGCCATCACTTGTAAGTGTCATCCCTAGATTAGAGCCGGAATAAAACAAAAATTCGCAACAAAAGACGGGAAATTTAGGCAAAAGTACAATCGCAATGGACACTGACGCCGCACAAAAAACCTGGGAGCTGGAGAACAACATCCAGACGCTGCCCAGCTGCGACGAGATCTTCCGCTACGACGCAGAGCAGCAGCGCCAGATCATCGACGCGAAGCCCTGGGAGAAGGATCCACACTTCTTCAAAGACATCAAGATCTCGGCTCTGGCGCTGCTCAAGATGGTGATGCACGCCCGTTCGGGCGGCACGCTGGAGGTGATGGGTCTGATGTTGGGCAAGGTCGAAGACAACACGATGGTGAGTGGCCGCAGGAGATGAGCAATCCGCTTTACTGTAGATCGTTCCTTTGCAGATTGTCATGGATGCATTTGCATTGCCAGTGGAGGGCACAGAGACGCGCGTTAATGCCCAGGCGCAGGCCTACGAGTACATGACTGCCTACATGGAGGCGGCCAAGGAGGTGGGCCGCATGGAACATGCCGTGGGCTGGTATCACAGCCATCCCGGATACGGCTGCTGGCTATCCGGCATCGATGTGTCTACCCAGATGCTCAACCAGACGTACCAGGAGCCCTTCGTGGCCATCGTGGTCGATCCGGTGCGCACTGTTTCCGCTGGCAAGGTCTGTCTGGGGGCATTCCGCACCTATCCGAAGGGCTACAAGCCGCCGAACGAGGAGCCATCGGAGTACCAGACCATCCCGCTGAACAAGATCGAGGACTTTGGCGTGCATTGCAAGCAGTACTATCCCCTGGAAATTAGCTACTTCAAGTCGGCACTGGACCGCAAGCTGCTGGACTCCCTGTGGAACAAGTACTGGGTTAACACACTGGGCAGCTCGGGACTGCTGACCAACACGGAGTACACCACCGGGCAGATAATGGACCTCTCCGAGAAGCTGGAGCAGAGTGAGAACTTTTTAGGTCGCGGTACATAACGAGTCGAGGTCGAGATTTATGCATATAACTGACAGTTTTGCACTCCACAGGTACCGATGTAAACGAGAAGCGCTCCGAGGACAAGCTGTCAAAGGCCACACGGGATTGCAGCCGCTCAACCATTGAACTGATACACGGTCTCATGGCTCAGATCGTTAAGGACAAACTCTTCAACAAGGTCGGACTGGGCAAATAGATCAAGACTTCAGAAATATTTCCATTGAATATTAATGGATTTTCTGTTCAATCAGGCGATTTATAAACTCATTCCTTTGGGAAATATTTTAATTAAATCAAGCTTATCCAAAAACAATATAGGGGCGCCTCAGGCGGATAAAAATGCTGAAAACGTGAGTCTTTATTTTGGATAATATTAGAGTTCAATGCTAATTGTTTAAAGAAGCATTGTGGTAGACACTTTTCACAGGTTTAAATAAAAATTTCCTTTTACTCAACGAGTTTACCTAAAAACAGTTTATTTAAAACTTATTTTCGCATCGAAACAATTTGCAATCTAATTCTAGCGTAGATATACGACCTTTTCAACGATTTTGTTGTGCAATAATCACTGCTAAAAATATTTATAGAAAGAGTTTCATATAATTCGTATTTGATAAATTAATTAAACATTCTATTTTGATTGGGATAACTAGGAATTTGAGAATTTTTAACGGCTTTGAATTGTGTAAGACGAGCCGGCGTCAAAGGAGCAACTGAATGCTATTTTTTTTGAAGTAAATGTTACAGAGTCTGGTTAGCGATTGGGGGCTGCAGTAACTGCGCACCTCCCATCAATTAAGGGTTTCATCATTTATGTCGTTGGCGTTTTTTACAACTTTTATTCCTAGATTGCGTGTCTGGCGATGGGTGGGTGGAGATCCCGAGTAGACCCGTAGTCTGCTGTCTGCCCCTGGGAGCATGAGCTACAAGTGAGATGTCAACGCCCTTCCTGCACGTGGCCCAATCAATTGGGCTGGACAAGGGGGCGGTGAAGAAGGGCACTAATTAAATACGTTGTCACGTTTATGGCCGCTGTGACGTACCAAAAGAGGGGCTGCTAATGCAAATACCAGTCCTGTTTAACCGCTATCATCACTTCTGCAAGGAATGCTCATTAAAATGTCAACATTTGTGTGCATGTGAGCTGTTTTTATGTTTGCGCGTATGGGGATTTATTCTCTGAAATTTTAAAATCCTCTTAAAGTTAAACGTAAATTGTGGTGCGATGCAAGCAAAGGGAGAATAAACAAAATTTCAAGATATATAAGGAGACGCCAACGGAAAGCCTGCATAAAGATTTACGTGACTAACTCGCCGTTTGTGCGTGTAAGTTATTGGTAGGAAAGCAATAAAACTTTCATTTTTTGATATTTTATCGAAAAGTAACCGTCAATTGGTATCAACAAGGAGCAATGACATGAAATGTAACACTGCCAAGGGGGCCATACCCACCATTTAGCAAGGGGGAAGGAGGAGTCTAAAGCGAATGCCGAGCGACTATAAAAGTCCTGGCGTCAAACGACTGGCGCTTCATTCGCCTCCTGAATGCGAACTGCAAAGCTTGGTATTTACGATACACAAAGTCCAATCTGGTTGAGGACATCATGGCATCCACAGCATCCTCCTCAAAGTCGTAAGCACCCATCCAATAAAAATCAAAGTAACAACAATGGCAGAAGCGTTCGTTGAGTGCTAGTGCGTGTGTATATTGCCTTGGGAACTGTAGTCAGCATATGCCCCAGATTGTGTGTTCTCATACATTGAATTTGCGTGGAGTTATAAATAAATTAGCCACAGGAAATTACCAACTAAAGCTGAAAGACAGCAACACACATTTTAACGGATATTTAAACCAACGCATTTCCATTTGGACCTGTTGAACAAGGTAAGTGAAACTTAAAGCACGATAGATTTAACGTAGGATTTGTATCTATTTTATTTGACAGGGAAATTTTAAAGCTAATTAACACTATACTCCCTGAAGATTATGTTTTATTGTAATCTATTTTATTTGACAGAGAAACTTTAAAGCTATTTAACTTTGTATTTGCCTATTTCGTCACTACCTATCAGGTTGTTAAAAAATATAAGGTCTAACTGAATGGACTAGAAAGGAACTTGTACAAAGAACGTACAATTTTTGTTTCTTTTCTTTAAAAAAATATATGTTTTCTAAAACAAGAACAAGTATAATATAATAAATAATATTTTCTTTACAATGTCTTTCTTTGAATAATACTCCAGTCATATAAAATATTAGGAGGGTAACGTCCTAATACAATATTTTTTTTTTATTAATTATTATTATTGTTATATTATTATATTAAAAATATTTTTCAGAATTTTCAACCATGTATGGAATGCTTTACGAGAGTGTTCAGCACTACGTGCAGGAGGAGTACGGCTTGGAGATTTGGAAGAAGGTGTGTCACATCATCGACTGCAAGCACAACAGCTTCAAGACGCACCAGATATACCCGGACAAGCTAATGCCGGATATCGCCGAGGCTTTGTCCGCCTGCACGGGCGAGTCCTTTGACTTCTGCATGAACTTCTTTGGGCGCTGTTTCGTCCGCTTCTTCAGTAACTTCGGCTACGACAAGATGATTCGGTCCACGGGTCGCTACTTCTGCGATTTCCTGCAGTCCATTGACAACATTCATCTGATCATGCGCTTTACCTACCCCAAGATGAAGTCGCCCAGCATGCAGTTGACTAATATGGACGACAACGGAGCTGTGATCCTTTACAGGAGCAGTCGCACCGGCATGTCCAAGTATCTCATTGGCCAGATGACCGAGGTTGCCCGCGAGTTTTACGGGCTGGAGATCAAGGCTTACGTCATCGAGAGCCAGAACGACATCAGCGGCGGCACCGCCGGACCCATCAAGCTGACGGAAGGCCCTCTGACCGTGATTGTGAAGTATCGTCTCGACTTCGATAACCGAGAGTATATGGCGAAGCGCGTCAATACGGAGGCCCATCCGTCGCAGCTAAAGATGCCTACTGTGAAACTGGACGTGTTTCTCGACCTGTTTCCCTTCACCATTGTGCTGAACCACGACATGAGAATCACACATGCCGGAGAGAAGATCGTGGAGACGTGGATTATGCACAATCCCGGTGCCAATCCGAAGGGCTTCATCGGCACCCACGTCATGGACCTGTTCCACTGCCGTCGCCCGAAGGACACCACCATCGACTGGGACACCCTGATCCAGATGAGAGCGGTGCTCTTCGAGTTCGAGTTGATCCGCACCGGGCACAACCGAGCTGCCTACGACGCC